TACATGTTAACCTTTTAAAAAATTTCTGTTTTCTTACAGTAAGTTTCTAAGAGTAGAATTATGAAACTAGATAGCTCAAACACTTGTTAAATTGCCAAATTATCCCATAGAAGGGGACAGAGGGAGCAAGGAGAGAAAGAAAGGCGGTACAGAAAGAGAGAGAGAATGCTCCCTCTTTAATCCTTATCTTTCTGGCACTACAGACAATAGATTCTACTATTAATAGTTGACAAATTGGTTCTCCCAGTGAAAGTGATCTCTGAGACACTGCAGGCTTTGGCACTAACCAGATTCAAACTGGAGTCTGCATTTGCTTTGCATTTACTGTGTGCAGAGCGCCCTGTAAGAGAAGCCCTCACCCCTAGGAGGACATTCGCTCAGGCTCTGACATCTAACAAATATCCACTCTCCGTGTCCTATGGAATGCCTGTTATTAGCCATCGTTTGGGCTGTCTAGGGATGTTCAGTTACTTGTCTAAATTGTCCCCAGCGCATTGCACCTCCAATCCCGAGTTATCATCACAGAACGTTGTCAGGAAAGTATCAGTCATTATTCTGTGAAGGGACAAAGACTCTTGGCCTGAAGTTCCAGCCCACAAGGATGAAAACACAGGTTCGCTCTGCCTCGTGTGCTCAGATAAGCGCGCTGGACACACTTTGAGGTGAGGAGCCTGGAAGTCACGTGGCACCTGGAGCGCTCCTTTAGGATGTTCCCAAGGAACAGCTTCACAAAGCTGATGGAACAAACATACCTGCCTTTGGTTGGGCCCTAGAGCGGCTCTGTCCCAGCCACACTGCCCCTGGTGCCAGAGAAACACGTCCGTGGGTTAGTGAGTCCCATTTATGTTAGAGGAAAACATTCTACTACATTGCTTGGGAGAAAGAGGAGCAAAGGCAAAAATAAGGTAGCCATTCACACGCCTGCAGACCCGCTAAGTCCTTGAGCAGCGGTGGCGCCTGCTGAGCAAGCAGACCGGAAATCCCGCCCACTGGCTTTGGGGTTCACAGCTGAGTTCTGTGCCCCACCCCTCAGCATCCCCCCTGCTGGCTCATTTCCAAGAGCCAGGGCCTCGCGTACCTGTTTGAGCTCCTCTATTTCAATTAGAATAACATTGGCTACAGTGGTTCCCGCCATCACAACCACTTCCATTGCCAAAATCAATACAACAGAAAAGGAAAGGTCTCTTGGGCTTCCACTTGCGCCCAGTCAGGCACACGACAGCCTATAGGTGTGAAGGAAGTGCAGGAATCCAATGTGGCGCTTGCACAGTACCTACAGCAGAAGCAGGTAAGGAAGAAAAGATTGAAGCTGGGACACCTGCCTGGTTCTCCAAAATAAAGCCCTGTGTGGGTCCATTTTCACACTGAGGCCCTTCTGGGGTCATTGGTCTGGAAATGGTTGTTTTAGGTTCAGGCACAGCTCCTGGTTCAGTCATTTTTGGCCCAGGTGGCAGGGCTGATGTCACTTAAAGCATGTAGCCCAAGCCAAAGTCATTAATGCAGAAGAGCCATTTGGGAGGCCAACTCCAGAAGGGGCTTGGGGGGTGCATTTTTTTCCAGGAAAGTTCTGCAGCATAATTACTCGCAGATTCTGGAAAGAATTATTAATAGCTTGTAAACTCTTTGTGTGGGTCCTCTTGTGCCTGGATTTTGCTCTCAAGAACCCAGATGAATAATGCTGTTGTATGTTTTCATGATACCTAAATTATCCCAAAAGTTGAATTTTAATCCCCTAGGTAATTTGTTAGTTCCTTCAATGTGCCAAGCGGGCAGTGAAGTTTAGGTGAAGTTTAGGTTAAAAGTGGAGGCCAAAATAGACAATACTGCTTTATTCAAGTTTACAATCTAGTGGGAGAGTTAGTTATGAAATCATCCTACCAATAAATATGTAATCACTAGCTACTAATGCTATAAGAGAGGATTATCACAATATGCAAGAAGGGCCCTGATCTTCTGTGGGGTACGAAAGCCATAATGGGCCACACCGATCTGCTGGTTGACTCCCAACTGGTGTTTCCTGGGATCAACTGGTGTTTCCTGATCCCAGGACTTTGGCGAATGCTCTTTTCCACATCGCCATCCTTTCCCCCCTCCTCTGTCCCCTCTTCTGCATATCATCAAAAGACCAAGGTTGAGTGATATTTTAAAAAGAGAACATTGGACACTTCTAAGGAAAATGGCAACCCTGACTCCAAAAAATAAGGGCCTCCATTTACTCAAAGAATGAGGGGGAAATGGAATCTGATTCTAGTACACGCTGTAGTCAAAAGAGAGACCAAGTATAAATTCTAGCTCTGCCGTTTATTACATATATGCCTTTGAGCAAAGTATTTGATCTTTCTTAGTTTAAATCTGCCCATGGTAAAGTGGGAATAATAATACTAATTTTACAGGATTATGTGAGTGTCAACAGAAACAATGCAGGAGAAGCTTCTAGCACAGTAAAATGATCAATAGATGTTAACTTTTAATGTGCAGGCTCTTGGCCTCCCAGATCTGCTTTTACAAGATCTGGGAAAACAATAGTGGGCAAATCTGGCTTTGAGTTCGGCTTGGCCACTTAGAGGTCTTTGATCTTAGTCAAATCACTTAATTCTTGAGCTTCAATTTACTTAATCTACAAAAATGAAATTAACCATACTTACCTTGCAGGATTATTGTGAAGTTTAGTAGCGTATTATGTTAAGCACCCAGTGGTGCCTCGTAAGTAGGGGGGCAGTCAGTTTCCATAAATAGTGGTGATAAGGATTCTTGACCAAGGAACCAAGGATTTATTTATCTGACAGCCACTGGGCTTGAAGTTGTTGCTGTTTCTCCCCCCTCCCCCACCTCAGACAGGGTTTAATAATATGAAATGAAAAGAATCTTTATGTTGATGAGAAGAGATGTAGGGGCAAGCAAGAACACCTCGGAGGTAGAAAGACCAGCCTACTGAAGGCAAAACCAGTGCATGTCATGTGTGTGGTATGCAATCCATTCATTATCAAAGGACTCTTCTGAAACTCTGCAAGGTCTGAATATATGAGAGAGGGACCTAGACATGGAAAATGAGAAAGGAGAAGAGAAAAAAAACTGAGACCCAGAAAATGAGGACAAAAGTAGGCAGAGGGAAGAAAGCCAGAGACCCAAAGAGACAAGAGTCGTTAGCTCTCTTAAGGCTTTCTAGCTTTGGGTGTGAAAACATCTGGCACACAGCTGTCAGACTGGATGCAGCTACACTCGCTGGGACTTGCATCTACGTGTAAATCTGCCACCCACAGATCTGAATTTTCAGCTAACATGTGGACTATTTTAATGAAACTGCAGGGAATTGGTGAGGAGGTGTAAAAATGCCATCTCCCCTGTTATCTCACCTCCACGAAGATTTACCCCACCTAGGAGTGGCTCCTCTCCTGCTGTCTCCAGGCCACCTATGGCCACCTTTCTCTCTCCCTGGTCAGTTGTGTGCTCTGACCTTCCCCACACTCCCGTTCTTTCTTCGCCCTTTGCCCTGCATCAGTCAGTTGGCTTACGATTTTGCTTAGAGGAGAGTGAATTGGCTTTTGTGAGAGAGCTATTTGACTTTGCTTTTTCAGAAAGGAGAATGTAAGCTTAATTTATGTTTTTGATAATGTATTTCCTCCTTTTCAGCTAGATAGCTAAACACTGGATGTCTGAAAACTAATAGCGTCAGCTACCCTCAGAAGTTTATGTTGCCAGAGGTGTGTTGCTTTTGTGCTGGTGCCTGGCTGGTTCCTGGTTGTTTACAGAAGGCAGCTGGGCCTGCATTTACCCAGACCCACGGGAAGGAAGGATGGGGTGGGGGGGCAGGTGGAGCAGTACTTGAAAGACTCCCACATCTGGCTGGGGAAGCACTTCCGGTGTCAAACCTAAGATGGTAGATACTGTGGATGACAAGCCAACAAAAATTCTACTCTGACTGTTCTCCTACAGGGCAATGCCTTTATTGTCCCTGATGTTTTTCTCAGCCCACCTTCCAGCTCCGAAAGATCCCATAGGCCCACTAAGATCGTTGGCCGTGGTCACCCTCCCTCAGGATACCACTCAGGTTCTTAGTTTTGATGTGGGAATGTTTCCTTTATTATAATGTCTGTCTTGTTTTAAGGAACTTTTAATAGTTCACACATCAGTAGTACATATGTAATATTTATAAAATAATGTAAGTACTCATCTGCATCACCTAGCTTAAGAAGTAGAATATAAAAGAGTACTTGTGAATGCCCCTGTGCATTTTACTTCATTTACCTCTTCTGACCTGCCCAAGGCCTGTCAGTTTTACTTTTTGTAAGAGATTAAACTATGTACATATGGATCCCCAAATAATTAGTAAATTTTACTTGCTGTTGGTTTTTATATACATGGCATCAAGTGGATGCATTCTTCTGTGACTTGGGCATTTTTACATGAGATCATAAGATGAAGCCGATTCAATGCATTACTCACTCATTCGTTTTTCTTTGCTTTATAGTATTCCACTGCGTGGATATATGGTCCATTCTCCGTTGACAGACTTTGGAGTGCTACTTGCTATTATAGTAGCAAATCTGAAGTGTTGTTTTTTCACCCGTCACAAATTCTGTTATTTTAATGTGTTACACATAGTCTCTTGATACACATGTAGAAGAGTTTCTCCAGATTTTGTAAAATGGCATGTGTTTTCTGGGTAAGAAGGTGAACATTTTCTACTTTTTTCAGTTATTTCAAGTCTTCTGCAAAGTGACCGTACTGGCCCTGTTGATCCCATCCTTAGAAATATTGTTTACTGCCTGACTTTTATGATTTTGCCAATTGTGTCTGTATAAAATGATCTCTCATTCTGGTTTTTATTGGTATGAGGAAATATTTTTCATATTTTGGGGCCATGGCTGCTTCCTCTTCTGGTTGAACTCCTTGTGTTTTTATGATGCACCCCGATGCACTCAGCATAGCTCTGTAAGTAGCTGGAGTAGGGAAGGCACAAAGGCACATACGACAGCACTGTGCTGCTTTTGTCTGTCCAGGTCCCGAGGAAGAAGGAAGCGGCCGCTACGGACCCCATTACAGAAACAACATGGGGTCGGGTGAGGATGATGAAGGAGATGATGACGACTTAGATTTGGATATTTCTTTTGAAGAGGTAAGAAAAAATCTCTGCTTTTAGAACACAGGGTGTTTTTATTTTCTTGCTGAAGAAGGCAGTTCAGCTAATGACCCATAATTTTATTTAAATTTTACTTACATTTGCTTTTAGCACTATTTATTTCCTCTATTTTTTTTCCTCTGACTATTTTTTTAAAAGATGTATTTATTCATACAGAACTGGGGTACAGGCCAGAGGCGCAGGGCTGGTGAGAGGATTCACCAGAAAATGAGCAGGGAGCAGAACAGGCTGACTGATGAAGTACACTGCTGAGGGGAGCAGCGGGCCGGTCAGGAGAGGCCTGCTGTGCCATGTGGGTCACCTCCAGGGCTGGGGATCGAACTCGCACTGAAGCGGCTTTGGCTGGCTTGCAGTGCTGCGTCCTCACCCATTGTGCCACCAGGGAGGGCCCTCTTTCCGTTGACTATTAGACTCCCCGTGATCATTAGTAGTAACTAAGTACTTGATATTCTATAGTTAGCTGTTGCCTGCAAACTTGACAATGTGGCAAAAATATATTTAGACTTTGCACCAAGTGAACATTTTAAAGAGTCAGGAAATGGACAATTCCTTGACAAAGTAGTTTATCCCTGTGGTATTAGAATAACAGTAAATCATGCAATATCAGCTTTGCCACTGATTTTCTGAGCTTTAGCTACTTAAAGTCCTGAGCTTCAAGTTCTTTATCCACACACCGGGGTCAGTACTCTCTGCTCTAGCTATACCCCAGAGGGAAGTTTCAAAAGTGACCATATTTTCAAAGTACCAGCCATGAAAAAGGCAGTCTAGTGACTGCTTTGTGTGAAACCTGAATCCTTTTCTTTCTCTGGCTTTAGGTTAAACCACTTCCTGCGATCAAAGGAGGGAATAAGAAATTATTGGTGGAACCCCAGGTGGCACCTATATCGAACCCAAACACGGCTTCTATGCGTGTGCCTCCCACCCCAGCATCGCTCCCTGCTACGGCGGCTCCCTTGCCCACCCCCGTGAAGGAGAAAGGCAAGAATAGTGTGGCGCCGATGCCTAGGCTCCTTGGTACATCTTGCGACGAAGCCCTTTGCCCTGCTGACAGCTTTTGTGTCGATGACTACACCTGGGGGGGCTCGAGATGCCACTGCAACCTGGGCAAACGTGGTGAGAGCTGCTCAGAAGGTAGGCCCTTGGGAGGGGAGGACTTGGTGGGGCTTGTACACCAGGAGCCAGAGGCCAGTCTTGCGGTCCACACACGGTTCTCTGTGGGCCTTGTTCGCCCATGAATTGGTGACTCAGTTAGCCATGTCAAGCCAGTTGTGAGGCAACTTCCATTGCTTCTAGTAAGACAGCAGCTCATTTGATTCAAGCCAAAGGTGCAGTACTTTGGAGCACTGAATGAACGACTGGGACATCACCTCGGGCAGGTGGGCTTCCTGTGAACACGGCTCTGCTCCTGAAGAAATGCAGCCCAAACGTGTGCATGCAGCTTGGCTCAAAAAGACAACAGTCAGTTTACGTCATACAGATACACAGCTGGAAAGCGGTATCAATAATTCAAAAGCTGCTGATTTTTTTTAGTCGCCAGTGAAAATTTACAGAAGGCCAGTTTCTTCCCAAGAAATTCAGAAGCATGAAGCTTCCAAGAGTTGTAGGACTAAAGGTAGAGCAGAGCAGGTAGCCAGCCAGGCTTGACAGAGGACTAGGAGTTTTCACCTACAGATGTGCAGATGTTGGTGTATTTTGACTTTTGCATGTGAAGAAGCGAGGGAACAGCACTTTTTTGGTGTGTTGTCTTTTTCTCTTTTCAGATATTGTTATACAGTATCCTCAGTTCTTTGGCCACTCTTATGTAACCTTTGAACCTCTGAAGAACTCCTATCAGGCATTTCAAATTACTCTTGAATTTAGGGTAAGAGGAATTATGCTTGATGAGTGCCTTGGACATCTTAACATGCAGTGTGTTGCATCAAAGGCAGGGGAAAGAGGGAGGTAAATACCAAAGGTAATTATGACACAGACCCTGTCCTTATACCAGTTCACAGGGTTGTAAGACCAGTGAACACATTCGCACATTCGAGGGTGCCAGCAAGGGGAGACCGTCTGTGACGGGGGGCAAGGGGAGTGTGGGTTCCATCTATGACTGGGGAAAGTGGCTGGTTAGTAGTTTCTCAGTGAGAATGTTGCACTCAGCCACGTTGCTCATGCTCTCCCTAAGCCAGGATTTTAGAAGGCGTCATGCACCCTCCAGTCCAAGACCCCTTGTGAGGGAGCCCGAGAGCCTGTTTCATTGCTATGGCTGCAGCAAAGCCAGTGACAACTGCACCGCTCATAACCTTGGGGGGCTCACAGCGAGGACCCCTAGATTTTCTCTCACCTGCACCAACTGCACCCTTGATGCAATCAGTGATTCAACTCAAAGTGATTCTTTCGGGTATCTCCGAAGACATAAAAGTCTTGGCAATCTGGAGATGAATCTACTCGGAGGTCATGGTCACGGGGTTGAGTATCCAAAAGATGACATGTCCCAGCCAACAGGGGTGCAAAACATGTCTGTGAGTGGGGCTGTGTCTATGCTCCTGCTCTCTCGCAGAAAGAAAGAAGCAAATTTGCATGTTTCTTCAGGATGAGGGGAGCAAAGAGAAAAATGTGGAATGACCTGAGATGAGACTTGAACTTAATGAACACAGGAAAGGCATCTCTGTGACCAGGGTCTTTGTAGGCAAGCTTCTCCTGAAGCTCTCCTGGTGGGCCCCTAGACCAATAAAGAGTGGCTCAAGCATGGGGCCACCTTCCTCTCACAGCACTGCTGTTCTTACACCCGTTTTTATTGTTGCCATTTGCTTATGGAAAATTAAGTGGACGCAGGTACCTGGGAACTGCTGGGCAGATACACGCTCGGCCTTTGTAAACAGGACTGGAGAGGAGACTGCTCGGGTTTCACATTCTGGGGGATCGAACTTTATGGAAGAGGAGATGCTCGTGGCTCATGTGGCGCTTGTTTGTGTAACAGGCAGAGACGGAGGAGGGCTTACTGCTCTACTGTGGGGAGAACGAACACGGGAGGGGTGACTTCATGTCCCTGGCCATCATCCGACGCTCGCTCCAGTTCAGGTAACTCCCACCAAGCCTGTGGATCTTTGAACACAGTTCTGTGTTATATTTGCAGTGTGAAGTGTATAGATATGAATACCTGCAGATAAAGGAAGTGTATATTGTGGTACCGTGAGCACAGTTGCATTTACCAAATATCAGAATGTTGGGATTGCAGGGGGACCTTTGAAACTTGAGTTTGGGAACTTATAACCATTCCTTCACACAACAACAAATGTTTCTTGAGCTGCTCCAGAGTTCCAGGCACTGCCGTCTGGCTGGGACAGCAATTACAAGTCAAAGCCATCAAGTCTTTCCTCTCTTGGAGCCCTTGGGATGGGATGGGAAGAAGCAGCGTCTTCTGCTTGTCTTTTTTTTTTTCCTTTTTTTTTTCTTTTCTTTTTATGCATAAGAACTGGGGTACAGGCCAGAGGTGCAGGGGTGGTGAGAGGATTCACCAGAGACAGAGTGGGGAGCAGAACAGGCAGATCTAGGAAGTACACTGCTGAGGGGAGCAGTGGGTGGGTCAGGAGAGGTCTGCCATGCCATGTGGTCACCTCTGGGGCGGGGATCGAGCTCATGTGGAAGTGGCTTTAGCTTCTTAGTGCTGTACTTTAACCTGCTGCGCCACCATGGAGGGCCCCTGCTTGTCTTTTTTGTGACTCAGCCATGAAGAGCACAGAATAGCCTTCACTCTCTCCAGGGTTAGGGGTTCCCAGAGACTCTAGCACCCTCATTGTCTTTCTTTGGGGGCTCTGGTGAAATGCTCGGATTACCTCTCTGTCCTGGTCACCTCTTTGCCCTGGACATTTTTCTCCCAACACTGTTTGGAAACCACATACAGTTTACGCATGGCTTTCAGGGAAGAGTGTTGTGACAGTGTGAGTGCTTTGATCTCCGCATGGAGATCTCCTCATATGAGAGCGAATTCACCAGTTAAGATCCTGAGCTCAGCATTAAGTCCCTGCCTGTTGACTTTAAGCAAATGACTGAACTCCTCAGAGCTAGTGCTTCCTCTTGAGCTATTGTGAGGATTACATGAACTAGCTCACTGACGTACTCAGAGCATCTCCTGACGTGTAACTAGCACTCAGTGAGCATCAACCAGACTTGGGTTTTAATCCAGACTGCTGAACGTCCCACTTTGGATTGAAAATGGGCCTCCCTCCATGGCTTAATGTTTTATAGAAGGTTGACACAGCTCCAACCTCTGGGGCAGCGGTACCAACACTTGGTGGGTAATGGCCCCCCTGGAGCATGGTGGTCATCCCTGGTCACAGCTGTCTAGCTCTGCAGCTGCTGCTGGTGTCTCTGTGATCCCCTCTAGGTCAGCCGTCCCACAATGCACCTCAACCCCATCCCACTCCATTGAAGGTCAAGAAAGACTATCAGACCCAAGAGGAAGTGACGTAGAGGCTGTGTGGAAGTTGGCCAGAAAGGGTCACGATTCTGGATGTGAGACCTGGTGATGGGGGCACTGCAGCACATGCAGGTTGGGGAAAGCAAAGAGAATCAGGAAACCTTGTGGGAACACTCCTTCAGTGCCCACACCTGCACCTCACCCGGAGTCTTCGTGGGAAGCATATCCGCATGTGGACACAAGTGAACCCAGAGGGCAGGGCTGGCCAGCTTGCCCAGATGAGTGTGGAAGATTTGGCTTCTGACATCTTATTAATATCACTGAGCTGTCATTTGAGAGTTGGAGAAAGTCTGCAGAGGAATCTCTGGAAGCAGAGAAACGCAGGTTCTAATTCGCAGCACCTTGAATCTACTTTAAGCATCTGGTAACTTCTGAAAATGAGAGGGAGGACCTAGTTGCCCATCATTTTCTAAGCTACTGAGGAGGCCCCTCAGTTCTGAGTTCTGCAGACAGAGTAGCAATCACTGGGCGGCCAACACCAGGAGGAGGCAGCTCGCTGCTCCCTGTGTCTGTTTAAACAGCGTTTGGGATTGGTACACAGAACTCTGAACAGATGACTCTTTTTTTTGAAGATTTATTTATTTATGCACACAGACCAGAGGTGCAGGGGCCATGAGAAGATTCACCAGAGACAGTGGGGAGCAGAACAGGCAGATCGACTAAAACACATTGCTGACGGGGGTGAGGAGAGGTCTGCTGCAACATGCGGGCCACCTCTCTGGCCAGGGATTGAACTCGTGCTGCAGGGGCTGTGGAGAGCTTCACAGTGCGGCGCTTTAACCCATTGTGCCACCACAAAGGGCTTCTAAAGAAGCCTTTACCCTGGAAGCAATGTCCTTAAAGTCTGAAAACATACTGAGCTGGTCAATCAAAGGATCTTCTTTTCTTTTTTCTCTCCCACAGGTTTAATTGTGGAACCGGGGTTGCCATCATCACAAGTGAGGCCAAAATCAAACTGGGGGCCTGGCACACAGTGACTCTCTACAGAGATGGTCTCAACGGGCTGCTGCAGCTCGACAACGGCAGCCCAGTGACAGGCCAGTCCCAGGTGAGCGCATCTCCTTCCCTGCCCACTATCCGGTACTTACCTTAAGCTTCCCAGCAAGCCCTACTTCAGCGAGCTGAGGAGACTTAGCAGCAGGCCAGCTCTGGTGGGTCCTCAGACGTGCTGCACCTTTGCACCTGAGACCCATATGCCAGTGCTGCATCTCCCCCTGCAGGTGGGCGCTCAGGGCTTCTGCCCACCCCCACGTCGATGGAGACGAATTGCAATTGCGGGTGTCCTTGCTGTGGCTGCAGGGGCCAGGCAGCAGGCCTCATGCTCACAGACATGTGCTGTCCCCATGAGGACATCAGTGCCCAGGGCGGAGAAGGCCCACGCTGGGAGGCTGAAGCCACTCTCGGGGCCAGGCACAAAGCTTGCTCCTAAGGCTGCGATCCTGTGGCTTTAGAAAACAGCCCTGAGGTCTGCTTAGTGCACTGTGTAGGAATAAGCGACTCATCGACCTTTGGGCGGGGGACATGATGATGGGAAGTGGGAAACAATTTAACTGGACAACTCAGCAGATCACCTAGCTATTCACATATTTGTCATCTCTGGGCAATTTTAGGGTTGTGTTTGGAGTAAACAGTTCAGGTTAGCCTGCCAAGGAAAGGAACCTGTAATTATAAACAGCCAGGTGTCCATATTCTCGGGGGAAAATGTAGGCAGAAAGCCTTTGTGTGTAAATGTGCACAGTTTCTTCCCTTCCTGGCCTCATCACTATTCTTTGCTGGTGAGACAAGGGCCATGCCTTGCTGATCAAAAAAAAAAGAAGAAGAAGAAAATACTCATTAATTTGGACCCCAGTGGTTTCAAAGGAACAGGAATCCAATGGAGTAAATGTGAATTCAGGGAGATCACTTATTCATCTATTTCTAAGGAAGTAAAGGCAGGATAAATGAACTACAGAGTCACCTAAGTACCAGAAGAGTAGACTTTAGTATGTTAAAATAAACTTTGATAGGAACAAAGAAGCTTTGAACTTGGATCCAAAGTACTAACATAAAGACAGGATGGGAAAGCTGTAGTGGGAGCAATATGTATGAAAATATCTTAGGATTTACAGCCAGAAAACTCAATGAAGTTTAACCAACAGGGCCATGTGGTATCCGTAAACTTAAGGAATTACAGGTTGTATTAATAGAGGCATAGCATCGAGAATAAGGGAGATAACAGTCCTGTTCTATTCTGGTAGTTATCTGTATGGTCTCCAGTGATTGAATAGTCACCGACATCTAAGGGAACTTTATTCGGATCTGTGATCATACCCTAGGAGGCCAGAGACAACTGGAGCATGTCCAAAGGACAGTCACTAGAACAGGAGATGACATGAAATCCCTGGAGTGACCAAATGAGGAACATTTCTTAGTTTGGAGAAGAAAAGGTGAAGGCAGAGTTGGTAGGTTTTTTATCCCAGAATCAAAAGGAGAGTCTTGAAGATGAAGGACTTAACTCTATGGATCCTTAATGCTGAAGTTGGAGGGTCATAGGCAGCCAACTTTGGCTGAATCAGAGATACACAGGTGTGAGACAAGGGTTCTCAGGAGAAGGGTCCCCACCTTTAGTCAAAAGAAAGCTTAGTCAAATCCTTTGGCAAGGATATACAAGGAATACAATGGTCAATGGGAACTTGGCTTTTGAGTTTCGTATTTGTTTCCCAACATGTCAAGAGCCTGTAATTTTTAATGAATGTATGCATTCTTTGCCAGAAATGAACACCTATGTTAATTCTGTGAGCACCTAGGGCATTTACATTTCTGCTACTGAGACTTGCTAAGCAAGTGGTATAAGACCACTGTAGACCACATATGTGTAATGTTTAGTAAACAATCTTGGAAGACAGTGACCAGGGTTAAATCCAGGGTTTCCCAAAACAGGCCTGCCATGGGGAGTTCCATGCAAGTGATGTATTAAACTGGTGAGGGCAAGCAAAGGGTAGACAGAAAGAGGTGGAAGTTGGCAAGGGTGAGATCTAAGGCAGAGTTCTTCCAGATTTCTGGATCCGACTTCAGCCTGATTCTGCAAAGGAACTCTGGAATCGTAAGTTATACCCCTGAATTATTGCAACTGAAAACAAGGGAACTGGACTCCCACATTTCAGCAAAAACGATAAAAGTTCCTGCTGGAGCAATGCAAATTCCAGAGCGCTGTGAGAGCTCTGCATACAAGGGCAAACAGCCCCGGCCAAGGAAGAGCAAGGCCAGTTCTGAGAGTCTGCAGGAGCATCACAGGAGCCACACAGCCCTACCACACCCGGTTTACATTCTGGACATTTAAAAATTCTGACTGTGGACAGCCTTTTCTCAGCCCTTTCTTTACTCTTTCATCCCAAGTGAATGAGATATTTCTGTAGTAAAAATGAACAGCTACAGACACCTGAATTTTGCCCCACCTAATGTCCAGCTCTGTATTTTGTCACTTCACAAACTGGAATCCAGACTGTGGTTTGGTCTAAGATTGGAAATGTCATAACACTTACAAAAACATTGTATCTATGAGCAAATTTCAAAATAGTTGGCAACACAATCTCTTTGGCATTCCCTCCTCTGCCCAGTAGAATGTCTCTTGCAGGTTATAGAGTGTAAATGTGACCAGGAGAGGGGAAGGTTAACTGTGAGTCCCTGGAGACAAAATTAGCGCTGTCACCTCTGAAGGCACTGAATAGCCCTGTGAGCCTTCCAAGCAGTGGGTGTCAGAACTGGAGAGCGGGCGGATTTTATGGATGCCCAGCATGGTACACGGCCTGGGAGGTTGCTTTCGGCTCTGATCTAACGTCTCTTCCCTTCTGGACATTGCCAAATCAACCCTTCTGGATACAGCCCTCCGAGAAGCTTGCTGGGAGTTTCCTGTGGGTTTGATTTCTCAGAAGTTCAATGTCTTTTTGTTGTTGTTGAAGTACAAGTGGATCTACATTAGTATATAGGTCTCAAGTTACAGTCTCTTCGATCACGATCTGTATATATCACCGTTTGCCCCCAGAATTGCAATGTCTGCCCCTCAACATGCATGTGACCTCTATATCCACTCCCTTCCCCCCAAAAGCTAGAAGCTAGAAGGACCTCTATATCCACTCCCTTCCCCCCAAAAGCTAGAAGGCTGTAAATTACATCTTAATCGTGCCTCTCTCATCAAGCTCTTTTGTGTTTGGTTTTTGATTTTGTTTACTGAGTTATATTTTTCATCTTTCTTAAAGGGCCAATACAGTAAAATTACCTTCCGGTCACCTCTGTACCTTGGTGGAGCACCCAGTGCGTACTGGCTGGTCAGAGCCACAGGGACAAACCGAGGCTTTGAAGGCTGCGTTCAGTCCCTCCTCATTAACGGCAAGAAAACTGACATGAGGCCCTGGCCCCTGGGGAGAGCGCTCAGTGGAGCTGATGTGGGTGAGTGGTCGCCCAGTGGACTGGGGCGCTCGTGTGGGTTGTCTCGGGCCAGAGAAGCGAGCAGATGGGTGGGTTACCAGCCAGGCAGCTGGTGCATGAGATGTGCTGTGCAGATAGAGTAGGATCAGGACCACCTGGACCACTTCAGCAATCTTAGCAAGAGCTTGCAGTCTCTGGCCTGGACGTCGCTTTGATAATTTTCACCCAAATTCTCAGACCTAAGCCTTCATTATTTCTTTTTTCCAATTCTGTCTTGCATCTTTACACCCTACTAAAACAGTGGCATAGCTTTACCACTGTTGTCCACATTACTCAAGACTCAGGAGGTCTCAAGAGACCTGTGGTGACGCCGTGTCTCCCCATGGAGTATCACTCCTTAACTTGTCCCTTCACTGAATAGATGCTTCTTTAAGCCCTGGCGTAGAGCTGGCCGTGATGCTGGGTGTAGGAACAGAGCAGTAAACACGATAGCCTGGATCCCAGCACAGAGGAGAGATCAAAGGAATGAAATAAGCACACAAGGGAATGTAAAATTATCCTTGGGTGTGTTAGGAGGAAGAAGCAATGGGACACTATTAAGGAAATGTTACCGGCTGGACTTCAGGGAAAGCATTTCTGAGGTTGGAATGCAGAACGATACCTGAAACAAGAGTAGGAGTTAAAAAGTCGGTCAGAGAAGGAAGTGAATTCCTGGCAGAGGAAGCGGCCCCTCCCCAGGGGAGCTGGAGTGGGAGCAGGGTCCCAGGGTGTAGTTTGTATTCTGAAACACCCCCAAGGTGTAGACAGCTTATTGGAAGGGCAGTCAGGGGCACATGCAAGCAGCAGCAGTAGCCCGGTGGAGATGATGGTGTTTGCTCCAAGGTGGTAATGGTGGCGGAGCAATGGACACATTTGGCTGATCTGGGTGGGAGGAAGTGCGAGATTCAGTTACAGATTGGGGGACGCGGTGTAGGGAGGCTGTTCACTGCCCTTGACCCCTTGGATACACTTTGCCCCTTGAGGGCGCTCCTTCTCTTGCCTTCCTGAGGGTCTGATTTCTCTCCTGCCCTTTACATCATTGTGTGAGTCTACACAACAGCTGACATACAGCAAAAGACAGAGAAAGACAGAAAGGCGAGCCCCCCCAAGCAAAAGAACCTGGAAACCCCCTCCTCCCAAAACGAAGGGAAAAGTCCCCCCCTCCGGAAAACTAATGCACCCCTCCTGCGGTAGTTCCTGAGACCTTGCAGTAAGGATTAACTTTCTCAATAACACAGTGGCCCTTCGCTCTTTGTGTTCATGAGTCTTTGCAGTCTCAAAATTGAAACATTTATATTGAAACATTTATATTGAAATCAAACTGTACATATTTAAGGTTTGAGATTATAGTTATAGATGCTGCTTCATAAAGCATTTAAGAACACACTTATTTAGTGGTGATGTGCATGCATGGTATTTTCTGCAACACATGGAGTAGAGTGTGTCGCCACTGTGGTCTGTCAGTCACAAGTCACCGGAGCGGCTAATCCTAGAGGGTGGTTGCTGACATTAGTAGCTGCAAGGAATGCTCAGTCCCAGTGGAGTTTAGGAAAGTAATGACGAAGACTTGTCCCACCTAAGCTCACAGACCCACTGTGCTACTTATTCACACTTGCTCCGGCTGAAGCCAGGGCCCTGCTTCCCACGAGCCTCTCGCCTTCTGGGTAGGAGCCCCGGGAAGCTCTCTCTTCTCTTCTCTGACTCCAGCACACTTCCCGGGCGCCTCATCCGCACTTCGTGTGATAGGGCTTCTGCCTTTCACCTGCCAAGGGCTCAGCAAAGCTGCAAATGCTCCTGTCTCACAATCCTCCCAGACTCAGACTCCTCCACCTCATATCTCCAATCTCTGGGGCTGCTCTTTGCCCTGTCTGGGTTCACCTTCACCTGTCTCTCTTTGTCTCCTCTGTGGGCTCCCTTTCCTTCTCCACTCTCCCACTTTCCTGCAGCTCTGGGGGCCCCTGTTTCCTGTTTCTCTCAGGGAGCCCAATGTTCGTGGTCACTGCTCCTGTCCTGGCCATCCCTGGCCGTTGCACTGGACCTCTCCTCTGCAGGGGCCGGCAGAGGATGTTCCCACGGTCACCTCACACTCTCATTGAGCAAAACCCAGCTCTCTGCTCCTCGGCACCAGTTCCGATTCACAGACAGACACGCACGTGTATGTTCTTGCCTAAATTCTTTCCGTCCTCCAAGCTAGAAACCTTGAGGTTATGCTTGACTCTTCCATCATCTTCAACCTGTAGAATGCACTGGCCACTTCTTCTTTCCCTGTGTCTCCGGGATCCTCACTTCTTCACCATTTCCTGGGCCATCATCTCATCCAGCCTGGGTTAGCCTCCCCGAAGGATTCCTTCCCACTTTCCCACCCCTTTGCTCACAATCTATCTTGCATACCATGGCCAGAATAATCTTGCTGAAATGCTGCTTTCATCAAGCAAACAGCCCTGGCTGGCTTTCACAGTCTTTACTCCTCCGCCCCATTCCCACCTCTTAAAAAAATAGTTACAAAGCAAATTCGTAAAATAATTTTTTCCATGTGTATCTAAAATAACACAAAGGGCCCACTTCTTCCTGTGGGACCAGTCCTTCTCTGAGAAGGAATCTCAGCCCACAGAAACTGGTGGAAGGCAGGGACCTGCAAGAGTTTCACTAAGATCAAAGTGGAGCTTGGGGGAGACGGGAATGCTGGCCCGGCCCTCAGGACTGTGGCTGCAGAGAGCCCACCATGCCTGCCTGGACTTCTGGTGGCCCCCTCTTGGAATTCACAGCTGCTAACTCATGACAACTGGAGTGGCCAATCCTGAGGAGAGTTTTCACTGAATTCTGTCAGCAGCCCCTGCAGTCAGTTCCCCCTCCTGGGAGCACAACACCCCCAGCCATCGACACCTCCCAAAGAGGCTTTATGAAAAGACTGGGCACGTTGGGAGGGCAGGAGGTGCTGCTGAGAGCACCCAGGCAACCCGAGGAGGGTGCTTGGCCTCTTGGGGGTGGGCTGCCTGCTCATGGAGGGGCAGCATGGGAGACGAGGGCCAGAACAGGGTCCCCACAGCTTAGTCAACTGTTACAGGGTAGCCCAGAGTGGACTTGGGCCGCCTGTCTGTGGGGCCTCACCCGCACGCTCAAAATCCAGTTATTCTGCAGAGACACACAAAAGGGTCAATAACGGGTTTATTTTCAAAAAGGGGAAAGGAAAAGGAAACAACCCAGAGAAAGAGAGAGGGATACAAAGTAGCTGGAATACTTTACCAGCGCAGCTGACTTGGAGCTCTAAGTCCCCAAACTCAGGCTGCTAGCCCCCAATCGCACAGGCTGAGAGCAGTTGCTCCAAAGAGAGAGAACCATTATCTCTCTAGAGAGTGACCATTGGAAAACCGCTTGCTATTTTTATCCCCCAAAAGTCCCAGAATGCCTGTTTAGCTCCGCCCTTAGGTCCTCTCAGTTCTCTCCCTGGTACTGCTGGGAGTTGTAGTTTCCAATCACTGAAGTAAGGGGTCGAATCCAGAAAGCCAGAGTAGGGAGTGGAGTCCACAAGACTCTGCAGAGTTCCTCTAGGACATGCATCCCCCTAACACCCACAGCTTACTCGAGAGGCATCCCCTTCACTGCCTGCAGAGACAGTGGATTGTGCTCACCTCCGTAGTCCTAGCCAGATTGTGGCCCATCCGTCTCATTTATTCCTACACACAAGGCAAAAAGGAACAAAGAAACAGAAGAAAAGTAACCCAAGAGAAGCCAGTTTGTTCTCGTTTAGCTGTTACCCTTCAGGGGCTTCTCTGACACGTTTTGGGTGATGAGAGCTAGACCCTCTCACACTGAGCCTCCAACACATTTGCCTCCAGCCCTCCTGCCTGATTATAACTTGGAGGTAGAAACAGGGATTCTGGAAGCCATTCCAGCCCTCCTTCGCCCCCCCACGCGGTGCTTGCCTCAGACAGGAGCCACCAGCTCATATGCACCAGCTCCTGTCATGCTGATCCCACTTGCCTCACTTTGAATTAGCAAGGCAACAGCACTTCCAGTAATTGGGACCACACAAATGAGAATGCTTTTAACATAAACACTGTTGTCCTGGTAGGCGTGAAATACACTCTTTGGGGAACAATAGAGAGATAAATTAAAGCAGAAACAGCTCTGTCATCCCTTCAGAGGTCATAAGATCGGTCAGCAGTTTATTATTTGATTTATTGTGTCTACCATGTTTAAAGCATCTCTGTGGCTTCTCGAGAAAGAACAAACCAAAATCAAATGAAAATGAAGGGAGGTTCTGCTTACCCGGGAAACTGGCCTGCAGAGGTGCAAATCAACAGGAACCGGAACAGAGCTGTGGATATTTGGAACCGTGAGCTGTGAGCTGGTCAGCTCCGCAGTTTGGCTGGCGGGCAGGCGCGGTGAACTGGCTTTGTGATTCCCACTCTGTCTGCAGGAGAGTGTAGCAGTGAGGTCTGCGATGAAGCCTCCTGTGTCAATGGCGGCGCCTGCACCACCGTGGGAGCTGACTCCTACATCTGCCTCTGCCCCCTGGGATTTAGGGGTCGACACTGCGAAGATGGTGAGAGAGGAGCAGGGTGACGGCAGTTTCTGTCTCCGTGTTAATGCGTGGCGGTGTGGCTTTGATCAGTGTACCTGCAGATGGCCTCATGGTTTCTGTTGCATTAATGATGTTTTGTGGGGAGTGATGGAGAATCTTTTTCTACTACGTGGCGGTGTCTTCAAGCATGCCAGTGGTGAACCCACCAAAGATATGTTCAAGGTGCCCCTGGGGAGGCTGGGTGGGTTCCTCGTGGCACTCAGACAGCATTGAAAGCACCGTGTGACCTGATGAGCTCCATCCACAGCATTTATAGCTCATGTGCCAGGTGGTGTCTTGACAGGTTCAGGGTAAAGCTGAGAAAGTAGACACAGAAACAAGTGTGAGAGGACAGTGGTGACCTTATTTCCTCTGTATGCTATTCTACTCAGTTATTCCCCTTCTTAATATCATGTGTATATGTGAATATATTTACATCTGTGTACATATGTAGATACCCATGAAGACACATATGATCATGAAATTTTTTGAAGATTTGAGCAATTTTGGAAAATCATGCAGGACTGGGCATGGTTTAACTTTACCAGTGAATCAGGCCTATTCCAACTGTCTCATCTGAACAGGGCCTGGGGCATGACCCTGTCTGCATTCTGTTGGCCAGCAGTCACCACCCACTTCACTGGGAGTTAGCTGGGAGTTGCAGTTTAGCCCTGGCCCAGGAGGTTAACCGGGTTTATTCTCCATGGAGCGATTTGTGACCTGTTTGTTTCTTCAGCCTTCACGTTGACCATACCTCAGTTCAGAGAGTCTCTGAGGGCCTACGCTGCCACACCCTGGCCACTGGAGGCCCAGCGCTACCTGTCCTTCATGGAGTTTGAGATCACGTTTCGGCCAGACGCAGGTGACGGCGTCCTCCTGTACAGCTACGACACGGCCAGCAAGGACTTCCTGTCCATTAACATGGCAGGGGGCCACGTGGAGTTCCGGTTTGACTGTGGTTCTGGGACTGGTGTTCTCAGGTAAAGGCTGACCTTTAGTGACCTCCTGCTCAAACCCAAACAGCAGCCACTTTGGAAGAAAGTCCAATTCATCTTGAAAAGCTTGCTCTCTTCCTGGCTCCCCTACCCAGTTATCTAAACCCTGTTCCGATTCACAGGTCACATGATTCCTGTAGGTCATTCCTATAAAACCTGTTGGTTTCTGTCACTCAATAAGCTACAGCAGCCATTGTCTGCTTCAAACGGTGGAAACCTTCACGTCCACCTGTAGTCGCAGGTGACATCAATGGGAATTTGATGAGCTGTAACTCATCTGCCCAGAGAATCTCCACAGTTATTTAATGACCAGAAGTGTTCTTGTCACCTCATTGTAAAGTTAAGTCCACCTCCTGCTGTTTCTTTGATGGTTGCTAGTTATTTAGCAAGTCTTTTCCTGTTCCCTTTAAGGAAACTGAGCAGCTGAAGGCTGGATTCCTTGACAGCCTTCATAACCCATCGATTTGAAATCTTCCCCCCTGGCGTTTATAGCCATGTCTCTCAACTACGATTTCATCTTAGAATCACCTGGAAGGCTTTTTTGTCGTGAAAGATTTATTGATTTCTTCATATAAGACCTGGCGTACAGGCCAGAACTGTGGGGAGGTGGTGAGAGATTCACCAGAGACAGGGTGGGGAGCAGAACAGGCTGATCCACTGAAATACATGGCTAAGGGAAGCAAGTGGTTGAGGCAGGAGAGGTCTGCCATGCCATGTGGGTCAGCTCCCTGGCCGGGGATCGAACTCAGGCTGCAGTGGCTGCGGTTGGCTTCATAGTGCTGCGCTGTGACCCCTTGCCCACCAGGGAGAGCCCCCACCTGGAAAGCTTTTAAACGTTACCGATGACTATATCCTGCTATCAGATATTCTGATTCAGCTGATCTGAATAGGGGCTGGGTATTATATTTTTTTAAATCTCCCACTTGTAGGCTGCTGATGGATGCTTTCACCAGCAAGGCAGCAGGCACTGGTTGAAAGAACTTACTGGTTTCTGCAGAACTGATAGAGTCATCAAAACTTTCCTCCTCTTATCCAGTTTGCACTGTTAATTTCCTTACCAGATTAATTGCTCCTGCACCGCGGGTCAATATCTTTGAATCCCTTAGAGCCTGTGGCTAGTTGGTGCAGACGGATGTATAGCGCCCTGTCTTGTGTTCCTTCCTCGCTAATCTAATGCTGACATGCTTCTTGTTGAACTTGCCATTTTTGAAACTCACTGAGACGATTTGCTCAGTGGTGCCGGGCAACAGGAAGTCAGTATATTGTTGTTTTGAAGGAAATTGCAGTCACTGTTGGCATTACTAGCCTGTCATTGTTAGCAAGAGCATGTGGGTGAGATGTTATAACCAGGCATTGCCCTTCGCTGATCATTTTTCATGACCAGTGGGAAACATTCGCTGCATTGGATTTCAACAATTCTTTAAAGAATGTTCATTTTAGTCCTTATGGCCAAATTCTTATACATCAGTGACACCTTAGAGAATGGACAAACATTTTTGTTCTTCTGGTTATACAAAAAATGCCCATTGTTTCAAGACAACTTTGGTGGGTACTTAATTGGTTCATTTTGCATACGATTATGCAAACCAGTCTCAGCAATTACTCAAAACTATTTGTCAAGTTGAGGGAGGACGACACCTTGAATATCACCTGGTACTGTCAGATGACTTCCTGTAGATACGGGGTGATTGAAAGAGGCTGGGGAGGGGCTGGGCCAATCAGTCCTTGTCCTGGGCAGGTTGCATTTCCCATCTTGCACCTCTCTAGCTGTGGGGTTACAGATACTTGGGACTTTAGGGGTCCAGCATTTCACTCTTTGATTCTGGCTATGAAGCACAGAATTAAACAACAGCAATAAAAAATAATGCCCATTACTGTTTTTCTACTTGTCAGGAAAGGCACCTGGGAAAAGAATTCTTGAGCTTTAGGTGTGATGAAAGGAGGGAAGCATCCCTTTTGCAACAAACAACCCTCATCTGCCCTCCGGCCCCACCCCCTCTCCAGTGGTAACCTGGCAACAGGGTGCAGGGTGGGGGCAGTGGTGCACCCTTTGGGTGATGTTTATTTTGGAAACCATTTCAAAGGCTTCCTGATTCCTTAAGAAAATTCATTAGAGGTATGGGCTGCAGGAAGTTGTGAAACTGGCCAGATCATTTTAACTTTAGGAATTGGCTAAGGTCATCAAATTCGATATGGCCTTGATTCAAAAATCAAGACAACTGAAACAGAGCTCTGATGACTCTGCTCAGTATAATTGCGCAGAGGGTGAAAGTGTCCTGACAGGCAGTGACCTCTGCAGGGGAAGACGCAGACTAAGCTGCTGTAAGTTATTACAAGGACAGGCCCACTTAAAGATGCCACTCGTTTCTTTATTGCATATTGATTTAGCCAAGGTGATTAAATTCTAATTGCTAAGGACAAATCACAAAAGCATTTGCTAGAGCAAAAAATCAACTGAGGGGTGGAGACCTTTCAATAATTGGACCCATTGGTATTCCTGATGGTTTTCTAAAGATGATCCAGGACCGAAAAATAATTGGGAGTTTCAGTGAAGGCCAGGAACTAGATATCATTAGAAATACAAACGCAATAATTACACCTTTTTTGCACATCTCACTATAAAAGGTAATGTGTAAAACTATGTCATTTAAACTTCAAGTGCTTCCATCTTGAATTAATAATTGAATTTTTTCAAGTACTTTTAATCTTTTTCCAATATCAGACAACATGGAATCTGCCATGTTGCAATCTGCCCAGCTCCACCATTTTACATTTCAGACATTTAGAAAAGTTGAAAGAATTGGACTGTAGACATCCTGACACCCGCCCCGTTTTCTGCACTTAATGTTCGCTACATTTGGGTATCATTTAGCTATCCATCCTCACATCCCTCTGTCCATTAACCCATCCTATATTGTATGCATTTCAAAGAATTCCAGTGGACCAAGGAATCTTCTTTACAACATGTGTCCAGTTATGTCTTCTTTTAGAAAGATTTACTACATACAGAGATGGTGTACAGGCCAGAGGTACAGGAGCAGTGAGAGGATTCACCAGAGATAGAGCAGGATGCAGAACAGGCAGACTGACAAAATACACTGCTGAGGGGAGCAGCGGAGAGACAGGAGAGGTCTGCCACGCCATGTCAGCTCTGGGGCAGGGATGGAACTCGCACTGAAGCAGCCACGGTGTGGCTTGGCTTAGCTTCACAGTGCAGCGCTCCAACCCGCTACACCACCAGGGAGGGCCCAATTACGTCTTACTTTACCCTCATCTTAGAATCAGGTGACCCAGACCCACATTTCAGGTTTCCTGTGTGAATGCATAAATGATAAAATCAACGCTTCATCACGTGGGGGTCTATCAAGGCAGCAACCCCCCTGTGTTCACTAGGCCTCCCTGGCTGTTTTCTCTTGACTATGAATGCCAGGCGATGTCAAGGCTGGCACCAGAGCTTGCCCAGCAATCGCTGGAGTTGCCATAGCACCTGTGATGCTCACTCACAGCAAATCACTTTCTTCCCAGGAGTGAAGACCCTCTCACCCTAGGCCACTGGCATGAACTGCGTGTGTCTCGCACAGCAAAGAATGGCATCTTACAAGTGGATAAGCAGAAGGTGGTGGAGGGAATGTCAAAGGTAAGCAGGACGCACCTTTGCGCTTGATGGCCGGTGCAGACTAAATGCGTTTTCTACTGTTCTGGCGAGAAGAGCAGCTGTGTGATTAAGCATGTGAACACCAATGCCTGGGTACCCCAGTAAAACCAGCTCCCACAGGGCCAGTTACTTAACATCTCTATTCCTCGGCTGTGAGCAGAGCTAATAACATTCAGAATGCTTTACAGGGCTGTTTTAAGAATTAAGCAAGCGAATACAACCAGGGCATTAAAGACTCGCCTGCCACTCCCTGGTAGTCCCTGCCTGGGTCTGTGTCTGTGGTCAGTGGACAGCATCTGGGGGAAGGTCTGTGGGGGGGATCACATGCCCCGTAAGAAACGACCCTCAAACCAGACTCTGGCATTCAGCGTGTAGCTCTGTCACTCCCCAGCGTGAGAGCTCACACTGCCACTTGGCTTCCAAGATTGTGTTTTTTTCGTCTATAAAAGTGTTGGAGAGACTCTTTGTCCCCAGTCACGGATTATTGGGGGGCAGAACAGGCAGGGTCTCAAGGTGGGAATGGCGTCGGTGAGCAGAGATTCCTAGAAAAGGGGGGAAAAGAAGAAAAAGGGAAGCGAGCACAAGGAAGACACGGGAATCGGAGTTGGGTGCAAGTCTTCCTGTTCTGCTCTTAGCAGAAGTTTATTTTATACATTAGGAGCAAGCAGTGGGATGACGTCAGCACTTGAACTGGGCTGAGAGATTACGGTCATCTTTTTTTCTAAGAATAGTTTGGGGTCGTATTGTCCTTCAGCTGAGATTATAACATCTATTAAAGTTAGGATGGGTACATAAATTCATAAAGTTTAAGACTAACATTGTTATATTTACCACAGTGTTGATTGACTAAAATAAAGTCCCTTTAAACCTTACATGCTACTTAATGATCTTCATTCTCATTGAAACATCTTAGAGGGTAAAGTCAAGGACTAGGGTGGAGGCTGGACTGGAGATGTGAAGGGGGATGAGGTGAGGTCACAGGCCAAGGAGAAGTTGTGAAAGAGGGTAAAGTAAAGTCGAAGACTAGGCTGGAGGAGTTTTCTGGTAGATAAATCACTAAGGGAGATAGTAAGATTCCCCAATTAAAGACTGAGCAATAAAAGCTTAAGTAAGAGAGTAGAGTGATAAGATTTGGGTTCTGGTCCAGGCAGTAAAAGAAATTTAATTATTTTGTAGCATGTTCTATACTGCCTTGTCTTACAGTATTGATTTTGTTATAATTGCTTTTATTAATCAGCCAGCTGTAATATTATTTTTTGCTTTCTAGAAGAATTTCCTGTCTTGGGCAGTGCTTGCTCACCTGAGCCAGGCAGCACTTTATGAGGCTGAGGCAATCCGGCTGCAAGCTGATGGTTGCTTAGAATATTTTCATATTACAAAAAAGGGAGGTCATAACGTGAGTGAGTGTGGAAATTCTGATTTTTCAGAGCACTTCTGTCTCTATCCGGAATATGTCAGTCGATAGAGGTTGCATAGCTTGTGTCATAAAAGAGGGGTAGTGGCCAGACTGGTGGAAGTGTCTGCTGCATAGAGGTGTGGAAGTTGGAGTTGCAGCTGTGTCCAGCTCACACTACTGAAAGCTGGTCAGCAACATGTAGCTTGGCTTCCTATTATTAGTCAGGAATGTGCTGTTATGACCTTGGAATGCAGCGTTTCTACTTGTTTATAATTTTCACTAGTGATTTTGTCCAAGGTCTTGTCCAAAAGAAAAGCATATTTTGGAAGATACATTTACTTTTGATTATAATCTAGTAGGATTCTATTTACACAAAAATCACACCTCCCTAAAACTAGAGGGGACTTTAGATTTGCCAAGATTTTAATTCTCACTAGTCTTCATTTTGCACATCAGAAGACTTACGGAGGCATTAGCAAATTTGGGTTTTCTGAGAAGCAATGAATTGGTAGAAGGAAAAGAGACTTGGTGGGGAGGAGGAGGCATTTGGTCCAGCAGGTGAGAAGGACACGCACATGCAGGGATGACCAGCCTCAGAATATGGCAGCTGGGGGCAAGGGGGTCCTGCTAGAACCAAGACTTCCTGGGGAGCCAGAAGAACCCAAACTGAATCCTGTGACAAGCGCCCTTCACATCTAGAAAATGTTCCGTATATATTTCTGGGAAGGAAAAGGGATGAGAGGAAGGGAAGAAAAGAGGAAGAAGATAGGAGGGAAGAAGAGAGTAGAAGAAAGAAGAGAGTAGAAGGAGGGAGGGAAGGCAGGGGGAGGGGCAGGAATATTTGGGGAGGCCGATACAGGACCAAGAACCCTAAGAGTCTGTCAGATGAGACTTCACCCTGGGTTTGCCCAGCTGACAGGGATGAGTGGCAACAGGCAGGGCTCCAAGAATCACGGTCCTAGGACTTAGGGCAACGCAGCCCGCGCGGGTGTGGCTCTGCTTTTTGCGCCCCTTCCAGCCAAGCAGCAGTGGCAGACCCAGACAGGAAGCAACTCACTTTGGAACAGGCGTCGCTTTGGGGGATCTTGCGCTTGTCTGCTGGGGTTCCATGTGGGTGTGGCAGTGGCAGCCCGGCTTCCCCTCTCAGCAAGACGGTTTTGATGAGCAGCCAGAGGGAACCAGCTCTCACCCCACAAGGACTCACCCTGTTTGCTCAACAGAACCCTAACTCTGAGTTTTGTCAAAACACTCTGCTCCCTGGAATCTCTTTGACCCTACAGCCTTTTCCCTTTCCTCTTATCATCTCATGTGAATTTCCAAGTAAAAGCAAAGATGGACAGAAATGGGTACCTGGGGGTGTCCCTGCCCTGTCAGGTATTCCTTCAGGCTACAAGAGTTCCTGAAAGTCCTGCTTGCTGGTCCCCTCCTCTCCCAACAGTTAGATAAGAGCTCACAAAGTGACCCCGATGGGCAGGAGGCAGGTCAGCTTCGAATCTAGCCCAGATGGCCTGCGCTATTTGATGCAAGGCCCGTGCGCACCTGCCTCTCTGCTCGCCCTGTCTCCCCAACCTCCCACCTGAAATCCATTCTCCAAATAGTTTCTCTCCCCTTCAGCCAGTGATCTTCTTAAAACACAGATCTAACTCTTCTTTCTCCTGCGTAAAACTCACTGCTTTGTGGGCAAACCCCTAAGCATGCACGATCAAGGTCCTCCTTGGCTGTTGTCTGTCTGTATCCCCTCCAATCCCTGACTTCATCCAGGTTTTACAATCCACGCTCTCCCTTGCCTATCCCTCCTTGCTTCTTAGGGTGAGACACCCACTTTCATCCAATGCAGGAGCACTCTCGGCCATCTTGAGGTGCTTGACCCAACTGCCCATTTACATGCCTGTATCCCCAGGGTCAGCCTCTGGAGGGCAGGGACCAGGTCTTTGTTATGTACCATCATTTGTCCAGAATCTAGTGCCGGGGACTTAGTCAATACCCATTGATATTTGTTAAATAATGTTGTTACTCTATAATTCTTTTACCATAAATTGAAGGGAACGATAACCTGGTACTCCAAGCACATTCACCCCTAGAGAGTTCAAATTTACCTCTAAATGATATTTTAAGGATATGTTAACATTTTGCTTACGGCTCATGTCTAGAATTAAGGATCACATACAGATTACTATGGAGCCCAGCCATTGGATTTTGGCTGTTGAAATGACCAGAAACTGAGGAAACATTGGTCATTTGACAATGAGGAATTTTCTGAGAGTCTGGAAAATGGAAGAATTTTCTGCCCTTTGCATGGGATGAAAGGAACAACCCCGTCTGCCATGCCCACAGAGGTCCATCTTTCTCGTTGCCAGAGATAACACAGCGGGCCACATTGGCGCACTCACGGTGTCCACCTGTGCACCAGGTCGAGGAAGTGGGGAGGCTTGACTGTGCTACTCACAGGCAGCCACAGGTTTTCAGTGGCTTATAAAGGCTAATTTCTCACACATGCTACCTGTCATCCATGATCAGCTACAGCTTAGCCTGAGGCCGGGGCTGCAGGAGCCAAGGGAGGAGAACACACAGTGAAGCCCTCCTTGCTCTGAGGTTTCTGCCCGAGAGTTGTACATTTAACAGGGCCCCACTTGAGGCTGGGCCGCTGGCGGTCCCCTTGCTGCGGGAAGACGGGTTCTGCTGAAGGGGAGCACACGCCCACATTCATCCTGGCAGATCTGTGATAGGAGTATGGTGACTCCCATCTTGGGAATGATGAAGCTGAGTCTCAGAAATGTTAGGACACTTACAAACACTCCAGACAGGTCAGCACTGTGTACTAGGGTGAAGGACACAGCTGAGTGTAGCAGTTTGTCCTGATGGGTCTTGAGTCGGTCTCTTCCATGTGGTTGATGACCTAACAGGGAACCAAAGACCCACTTGCTCGCCTTAACCACTGTTCTGAGGTTTTACTCTGTGTGTGTGTGTGTGTTTTTTTTTTTTACTCTGTTGGCAGGGAGGCTTCACACAGATTAAGTGTAACACGGACATTTTTATGGGTGGTGTCCCCAGCTATGATGATGTGAAGAAGAACTCGGGCATCCTCAAGCCATTTAGCGGGAGCATTCAGAAGGTACCAGCTTCGCTTTCTTGTTTTAATGTGGAGACCTGACTGCAGATAACAGAATTGAGGATTGTAATCCATGTGACCTCCTGCACCCAACAGCCACCTTGAGAAATTTCTAGGATCCTATCTTTTAATACTGAAGACAGAGCTTTACAACTCTGCTTTGTTAGGATGTCTGACCCTGGGTCTATACTCAGCAGATATGCATCAGTACAACTCAGTGAAGATGAATTTTTACAGCAATGGCACCAAAATGTCCTGGGACTGGAGGAGGCACTGGAGGGGGGGAGGGGCAGCTGACATCAGTTACTGCAGGTACTTCCACCAAACACAGGTGAATGGAGTCTCATAAGCAACTCTTGGCCTTTTGCTTCTCATTGGGCTTAATTTATAGTTTGATTAAGGCACAAACCAACTTTCATACCCAATTTCACCCCCATCAATCATAGAATCTTTGGTTTCCTAGAATCTATGTTCTAACCTCTCAAGAACACAGAGTTCTTCTGTGGCAAGAAAGCTCAAAAAACCCCCACTCAATTAGCAAAAGATACAGTATGACTCTCATGCCTTCTCGGATCCCTCCCATGACCTCTCCTGCTACAAGAATATGTTCTGTCTACGGACCACCAACAGGTTGACCCACCAACCCAGATGTCTAGGGCTAGCTCACACTGGCAAGAACACGACTTCAAGACACACGTTCCGTTCCAGATGATAGTTTTGTTCTTTTTCCTTTAGCGGCAGAGGTGGAATGCAGCCCCTTGGTTCTTTCCAGAACTGAGGCGATTCTAATGTGCAGCCAGATCAAGAGCCCCAATTCTTTTTGGCTCCTTATGACTCCTTGAATGGCCAGGCCTAACAGAACCAGAGGATGCGTTCTCCTCCACCCTCATCACTTCTGGCCCATCAACACTTATGCAACGAAGAGCCCAGACCGGCCTTTTCCTTTTATTTGTAGCGCTCCCCCTCCTTCCCTAGTTCAGGGTAGCATGCTGAGGGCAGCTTTGGAGGAAGGCCGCAATGTTTGATGAAGGAGGCCTGACCTTCTTTCCCTTCTCTCACCTCAAGATCATCCTGAACGACCGACCCATCCACATGAAGCATGACTTCACATGGGGTGTGAACGTGGAGAATGCAGCCCACCCCTGTGTGGGGGCCCCCTGTGCCCACGGGGGCAGCTGCCGGCCCAAGAAGGACAGCTATGAGTGTGACTGCGCCTTGGGCTTCGAAGGGTTGCACTGCCAGAAAGGTACGCGCAGGGGGGTGGGGCTTGGCCGCCTCTTCTGCCAGGGCACTGGATGGCTCATTGGGGAACCACCACCCTTAGAGGAAGAGGTGGTAATATTGAGGCTGCCATCCCAGCTGTGTGTGTTTTTTAAATTTTTAAAGAAGATTCATTTATTTATGCGTACAGAACTGGGGTACAGGCCAGAGGTGTGGTGTGTGAGAGGATTCACCAGAGACGGAGTGGGGAGCAAACAGGCAGATGGACTGAAATCCACTGCTGAGAGGAGCAGCAGACAGGTCAGGAGAGGTCTGCTGCGCCATGTGGTCAGCTCCCTGGCGGGGGAGCGAACTTGTGCTGCAGTGGTTATGGACAGCTTCTTAGTGCTGCAAACCATCAGGGAGGGCCCCATCCCAACTTTTTTAATCAGTGATTTCAATAGCAGATTAGATGCGTAATTGTATGTGTAAACCACTATAATCATTTAATACTTAAAATACTGAAATGCTTCGGTAACAGCTTCCCCTTAGCTCTGCTCCTCCCCTGAGACTCCCTTCATGGTCTTACAACCCAAAGGTTAATACGTCATGGAGCTGGGGTTCCCGGAACCCTGATTTGAACCACTCACAGGGCCTCACCTGATAGCTGAAGGTCTGTGCTTCTAGGCTGGTGAATATTTTGACAAAGTGTTTTGAGCCCTGCATGAGTGCTGTAAAGAGAAAGCTACTAGTTGCTCCAAACTGAAGCAAGACTAAGCATGTTACCTGTGTCCTCTGTACCTCAGATTCCTCATCTGTTACTTGGGGCTAACAATAGCATCAGTATCCAACAGGGAGCTCTGTGGTAGAGGGAGTGATACCTTGTGTATCCCGCACTAGAGGTGCCTGTCCCCCACTCAGGGCCCAACTGCTGTTATCACAGATGAGAGAAGGCAACTCCATTATCAGGGGCTGTGAGCCGCTGAGGCCAGCCCACCTGTCAGAGAGCAGAGAGGTCACAGGACATGAGTCTCCTGAAATGGCCTGTCACCCCTGTGTGAGGGAGGCAGAGGTCAGGGCCGTGATGTCTGGGGGAGACCTGCCCTCATGCGGCCTTTGTGTCAGGCCATGTGCTCCTTCCAGAGTAGAATGTCAAGATGGTTTGACCAGCCTGCAGAAAGTAAGCCACTAAGGCAGCGAGCAGAAGTCAAGGAATGTGCTCGCTCTCTCTTTCCTGTCTGCTTGTAGGTATCTGATTCGTATCTGAATTGGAGCTTAGAGGAAAATTGTAAGTTACAGGTCCCTATGTTGGCATATGGGGTGGTAGGAGAGGTTGATTTGTATTCAGAACATATGAGGATGCCAGGTTGCCCGTTGGAAGCCTGAGTAACAATTACATTTAAATGACTTTTGACACCTGTATGAGAAATCATAGGAGATCAGTTTACTAACATAGCTCAGTGAAGTGCTGAGCTAAAAGCAACAGTGCCGTTTGTTAATGGACCTGGTGATAATTCTAACAAGCCAGTTGTTGAGCTAATCGTGTGTGATCACAGGGATTGAGGTCAAGAGAGGTCTGCCTCCTCGAAAAGCTGGGTTTGGATTTCACCCATCAGTGCTTGGATTTCCGGTGTCTCCAGTGTTTCCATGGGCAATTCAAGCTTGCACCTGCTTGAACTGTAAACGCTGATGGTCAGGGTATAAGATCAAGGTTGACGAACATTTCACTTTGGGGCGTAAATGGAGAAGGAAAGGCCCATTTGAGATTTTGTTCATGCACATTTTCTGCTACTGAACATGGACCTTAACAGATATAAAGTAGCTTTTTAACTACGGGTTTAGGTTCAATAAGGAAGAAATCTCACCTGAAGAGCTGATCTCTGGGGAGAGCCTGGGCCTCCTGCAAGATGGAAGGAGTGGACAGTGAGTGGTGGGGGGACTTGAGGAGCATTTAGAACTCTTTCTACAACCTTCTAGGCTACAGTCAAGATATAAAACTCAGATGAACCATCCGCTACCCTTGGTTGTGTCAATAGTGCCTTCTGTTTTTTTTTTTTTAATTATTATTTAAAAAAATTTTTTTTTTATTTTACAAAAGTTTATTTTTACATCATTTTGTACATTTTTTTTCCATCTCAATTGTAGTCCCCACAGGTTTCCCATCACCATGTCACCCATGTGCCATCACCATAATCCCATGCACTTCCCTCCCCACCCCCTTGTTTTTGATCCCATTCCCTACTCCACCCCCACAAAATGTCTCTGGTATATGGTTGTTCATTATTTTTGTTATTTTCTCGCCTGGTCCATTATCCTCCTGCTATGAGTGAAACCATCCAGAATTTTTCTTTCTCTTTCTGGCTTATCTCACTAAGCATGATCTTTTCCAGCTCCATCCAAGTTGCTGCAAAAGACACGTGTTTCTCTTTTTGGTTGCTGAGTAACATTCCATTGTGTATATGTACCATAATCCAGTCATCTACTTTTGAGCATTTGGGCTGCTTCCATGTTTTTCCAATTGTAAATAAAGCAGCAATAAACATAGAGGTACAAGTATCTTTTTCAATCAGTGTTTTTGTGTCTTTTGGGTAGATACCTAGTAGTTGGATTGCTGGGTCGTAGGGAAGCTCCATATTTAGCAGTTTGAGGAACCTCCAAACAGTTTTCCATAGTGGTTGTACTAGTTTGCATTCCCACCAGCAGTGCAGGAGAGTTCCTTTTTCTCTACATCCTTGCCAACATTTGTTGTTGCTAGTTGTTTGAAGATGTGCCACTCTCATGAGGTGGTATCTCATTGTGGTTTTAATTTTCATCTCCCTTATTACAAGTAATATTGAACACTTTTTCATATGCTTGTTGGCCATCTGCATTTCCTCTTTGGAGAAGTGTCTTTTTAGCTCTTCTGCCCATTCTTTGATGGGGCTGTTTACTTTATTTCGGTGCTCTACACGATCAGAGAATCTTCTCTAGTAATGAACTATAGAATTGATCCCTGAAAGTATAGTCTTAGCTCCTTCTGTTTTTAAAATAAAAATAGTGCTTCTGGCGACATGTAGCCCTTGCTCATAGTCCTTGTGTGGCAGGTCTGGCCCGTGTTGTACCGTAAGCATGAGGAAATCAAGAAGGCTCTAAGCGTGACTTTAGCTTATTTAAGGGCCAGGTTAGCAAAGCGGGCCACAGAGGAAGGCAGTTACCACACACTGATACTGAGGAGACCATCCTGAGTAACAGTTGGGAAGAAAGGGATGAGAAACGGACAACTCCTTCATTCCATACACTTGCAAGAGACCATTCGAAAGTTTGGGTAAATCTTCAGTATGGAAGACCAAGAAAAGTTAGAAGCTATTGTTAGTTGAGCAAGACAACCCTGACTAATCAAACAAGGTGATTTGTATCTGATACTTTTCAAGGTTTTTCTCCCTCACCCCTTCCTGAGGAGCAGATCAAGCTTCAAGCACAAGAACCTGTCCCTAGTATCCCCCACAGAATTGCAACTTCCTTTTATTTGTAGAAAGTGCCAGTGCCAGGCCCCATTGTGTCCATGCCAAGGGGCACCTTCTCCATCCAGAATTTCGTTTTCTGGACGGACCTTCAATGGGTCTGTTTTTCATGATTCCATACGTGTTTGGAGCTGGCAGACGAATTCCTCAAGGTTCTAATCTGAGAGTTGACACTCGTTCTCACCTCCTGATGGCCCAGGAAGGAACCTGAAAAGCAGACACATGCCGGAGCCCTCCCAGGTAGCAATGTAAAGGTTCTGGGACCCCACAGAGTCAGGGAGGAGCAGCAGAGCACGAGCTTCCTGGGCTGGTCGCGGGGCACTGAAGCTTCTCTGTGGCAGCTGCTACAGGAAACTGAACCTCTTGGCTCCAACCTCGAGAACCTAGAGGAGGAGCAGCCTGAGATTCTTCGGATTCCCATATTAGAGCAAAAAACAGGCACTGACAAAATCATAAAGTTTGACTTGGGCGATTCTGTTCACTTCCATTTAGGGTTCTCACTCTTCCACCTCAGACCTCAGTACCCCATCCAGCACCCCACTCACCCCTCCCTTCCTAGCACCTTCTTACCTCACCAGAGGACCACCAGCAAGGCTTCTTTCTGCAAAAAGATGCCCATTTTCCTCAGAGATGTCTTTCCCCTTTCTCTAAACTCTCATCCAAACAGACCCATCTTGTGCTCTTGTCCCTCAGAGCCAAGTAAGTTACTAATAATGAACAGTGGAATTTATTCGGCAGTCAAGTTCTAAGGACTGTGGATGGCTATTTCACGTGTACACACACAGACAGGCATGCATTCTCATACACAAATGCATGGCTGGGGATTCTGTGGTCCAGTAAGTTGACCCAGTTACGCACCTCTCACTCCTGCAGATAAGTCTCAGAGCCTTCACATCCGTCTCCCAGACAAGAGCACAGGATGTAACAGTTGCTCCCTGGGGTTTCTGCAGACCCTTGGAAGAGAACTCTGAGCCCTGGTCCCTGGTGCCAGGTTCCCTGACCTGCTTCACGAACTGTTTGGACTGTGCAAGACCCTTTGGCCACTAGATGGCGGTGTTTCCCCGCAGCCCTGGGACTGCTAACCCCAACGTTAGCATGGGGGGGGGGGGTTGACCTGGGGGGGACTGGCACATACATTCCGCAGGGATGCCCAGCCCTAAAGAGCCTATCATGCCTGGTCAGTACTGGTCTATCATGTGTACAACACTCAGGGCATTCATTATACATGGTACTTAGTAGATTCACATCCTATTGCTGAGTGTGAGTTGGGTGCTTTTTGTGGGTTCCAGTGTATTTAAAGAAAACTTTAATAAACACAGACTATAGCTTCAGAAAACTCAGACTCTAAAAACACAAATTAATAAAACGTGCTGATTATGCATATGACAGGGAATTTTTCTTTGGCTGATGTATCATTAAATCAGGGAAAATTGGGAGGAGGGAGAGAGTGCGCTGACCAAGATGTTGATCTTTAGATAGTGGAAGGGTTCTGTTTGTTGCTTGATTTAGGGGTTCCAGTGAGCTCCCAGTAAGCAAAAATTCTCTGCCAAGTAGAGTTGTCCAGCGGGAGGGCGCTGCCTTGTGGGTGAGGGAGCTGCCCATCTGGAAGTGTTGTCTTCACCTGGGGAACTCCTCTTCCCACCCCCAGCATGTTGTTGAGGGGGGGCCTGGTGTTTGGGAAATCTGGATGGAGCACCCCCAGGGCTTTCTTCCCCAGGCCCTGTGACTGCATACCAGCCAGCGTCTGCTACTATACACTATTGGAATTTTAAGTCCCTCAAGTGGGACCTTGACTTTGCCTGGTCTGCTCCGATATCGCTCCAATGCTGATTTGGGGGTTGCTCTTCATTGGGGTGATTTTTCTGTCACCAAATGGCACAAGCCTTTAGGTACCTATACAAGTGAGACAGTGGCAAAGCTACATTTCAACTAATGTGTCAGTAGAATCTTTGCCACACACACACAAAAAGTAGAAAAAAATAGCTATAAAAAGTTAAGATAGAGTATAACCATGTTTACAATATTTAAAGAAACCGCAAAGGGCCAGAAAGGGCCAGAGGGTCAACCCCACTCTTATGCTTTCAGGTGGAATTAATATTTATCTGCGTAGACTGCACTGAGTTTTGTATTCAGTGGTGTTATTTCTGGGGTGACCCCCTGACCTGAGTTAACCACAGAATGGCCAGAGCTCTGGAATCTTGCAAAGGAGGGCGGGGTGGTGCAACAGTTTCCACTGTGGAGAGAAAAGAGGCAATTCGCTGGCTTCGCTGGCTTATTGTTTTCCACATGCAATTCCAAGAAAAGCTGTAATGATAGACAAGGTAAGTAGCTTGTTAGCAAGGGACTGTTTCCAGGGTGTAGTCCATGGGAGTTGTCAGTTCAAGGTCAGAGGAGCCTGGGTGTGGAGAGCAAGTGCCAGGCAGCTCCTTTTGCACATCTTCTTGACCGACCGCCCGCCGCCTCCCTGGGCCCTCATCTGCCCAGACCCGAACGCTAGTTGGGTGCCCCGGTGCTCATCCTGCTGAGAAGAGACTTCCCCTGGCTCCTGTGGGTGCCTTCCACAGGCAGGGCTCTTTGCCGAGCTTTCCGAGGGAACCAGGCTCCGGTGACCTGAAAGTGAAAAGTAATTAGAAGTTTACAGCGCCTGTGAAATTCTGACTTTCACTGTTCTGTTTCATGCTGGCACCTGGCAGAGTGTGGGAACTACTGCCTCAACAGTAAGTACAGTAAGTCCCAGCAGGCTGAGTACGGGCTCTGGGCCTGGGCCAGAGCAGGCCTTGGCCAGGCTGAGGGCACTGTGCGTGCCAACCACATACAGAGGGTAACTGGGGTAAGTGGGGGGGGAAGGGCATGTGTGGGGGTGCTGCCACACATCTCCCAGGGCGGTGGGAATCTTCTCTCCCAAAGCCCTGCCCCTGAGAACGCATTTGCCTCCTCATTGGACCCTGAGCTCCCGAGAGAGGGGCTTGGCTGGATGGGCTCCCCAGAACCCTTTGGGGCAGTGTCTCTGGGACTTGTGACAAGCACGTCCTGACTATTTCAAGGAGTTCAGGAGAATGATGACTGTTGGCTACAAGCCCGCGTCCATGGCCAATAGCAGCAGGAACGGGCCTGCCTGTGCCTCTCACCCTGGGGGACAGCCAAACCCCACAGGGGCGCCTTGGTTATGTTTAGCCCTGGGAAGTCATCTTGGATGCCCTCCTCCCTTCTCAAGCGACTGGCCTGAAAGGCAAGGCCTGCTCCCTGCTAAGCGCTCCCTTTGACCTGAAATCTCCTGCCCTCCTTTCTCTTCTCAGCTTCCACTGGCACCCTCTTGTTTCTCTCTTTCTTTCTCTAGATCTGCCTTCTCCCTGTCCTACCCACTCCTTGCTTTGGTCCACGGCCTCCCATGCATCTGTCTCCTCCTCCTTCCCAGCCTTCTCCTATCTTCCAGAGCGTTTTCTTTCTCCTCTTCTCCCTCCAGCTTTCTCCTTCCTTTGACCCTCCGTCCACTTACTTTTCTACTCTGCTCTTTTCATTTTGTCCCATTCTGTTTTTTCCTCTCTCTGCCTTTCTTCCTTCTCTTCCATCCTTCCTCCTACCCACGCTCACCAGAAGAGAAAGGTGCTGGTGGTCACCAGGGTTTTAAGACAGAAGAACCTGTCATGTCTGTCCCTGACAGACCTCCTGGCATTGCCAACGGGAGCTTCTACTTGGTGACCCAATGTACTGGGTTTGGGGCTTTGCTATTCTCTCTCTCCCTGCCTGCTTCTCCCTTCCTTCCTCCCCCATAACTCCCCCCCCCAAAAGCTAAGTTTAAACTGCATTTTTCCTAGGGTCAAGCAATTAGACATTTCCATAGTTCAGTTCTTAGTTCAGCTTTGCTACAACCCCATATTTTGGGGAAACTTTAAATTGCTTGTATAAGCTGGTTATTCCTTCTTGTTTTGCACATGTCTTTGAAAAAGATTTATCTGACCTTAATTTTTTTAACTGCCATTTCTGTGTCTTCCTAAAGAAGAAAAGGTTGTAGCTGCTATTTCTTTAGTGGAAGTCTAACAAGTTATTCTCAAGATATAACCCCAAACACAGCTACTTAACCTACTCATTTGTAATGTATAAAATATAAAAGTTCCCCAGGAAACAAAGTAATGAGAAATTAAGAAGGTAAGAAATATGCTTCTATATATGGAAAACAAGAGTGGCTGGGGTCAGGGAGCGGGTGGCCAGGGAGCAGAATTAACTAGAGCAAATCTGATTCCTGGTCTATTTCTCTCTAGCTGGATGGTGTTGGGAAAAAGCCGATGCTCTCTGGGCCTCATTTTCCTCTTCCATGAAATGGGCATGACCAAGCCTTTTTCCCTTCCTCCTTGCTACCTCAGGAGATGGTGGTGAAAATCTTGTGAAATGGCTTTGGAAGGTGATTTGTAAAAACAAAAATCAGAGCTGTATTCCTCACATGCCATCAGCCCCTGAGGTCATGGGTGATGGGGTTCTAGGGCAGGTGGACTTCGAGTGAAGAAATCCTCATGGGCCTTGTTGGGAGTTATTTCCTCGTCTCCCCTGGAGACCTCCTAGGGTTATCGCCAGTCACACCTTCTGTAGTCCAAGACCTACTCTTCGGCTTCCAAAAAGAATTGGGCACAGCTTAGTTGCAGCACTTTGCAAGCTCTTCTCAGTGATCTGAGGTCACTGATAGTGACAACCAGTCCCCATGGAGGAAGTAGGAGAGAGACACGCACTCTAGGTCACCAGGCTGGGCAGCTTGGTTCATGGTCAAGTGAGCCAAGAGGAACGGCCTGACAAGTCATTAAAATGTCATGTTTTCTGACTTTCTTTGTATTTTCCTAGCACGAGATTAAGTTCTGGGGTCAAGAGAGCCACCTAACACTAACCTCCATCTTCTGCTTTCTTTTAGCCATCACAGAAGCCATCAAGATCCCACAGTTTATTGGCCGCAGTTACCTGACATATGACAATCCAGATATCCTCAAGAGGTAATAAACTTCACCAGGTACCTTCCTTGTCTTTCTCTAGGTAGATTTCTCAATACCTTTTTATTATCTTATATGTCAAAAGCTAATCTCAAAGAAGGCAGTCAAGCATGGCCCTGGGGCATGGGCGGGGAGAAGTAGGGTGGTGTAGACTCATCAAATAAACATAGAAACTAGAACAAAACAAAACACTTCTGGACCAAACTTGATGCAAACCTTTCTACCATTGCAAACAACCTAATAAACCTTTCCTTATCAGAGGCTGAGAGAGGAATATGCCCAACCCCAAGATTTCCACTGTTCAGACTTCAGGAAGCAGTGAGAACTAATGTTCCCGAAGCCAGGGCGATGAGGGGGCGTCCCCAGGTAGGGCAGTCAGTTTAGTGCCGCTTTGTGCTGGAGGCAGAAGTCAGAGTTCAGAGACTCCCCAACCAGGCGGGCAATTCCCAGTTCATGTTGTACCTTACAACTGCATCAACGAAGGTTCATTTCAGGCTCTGGCTAGTTCAGGGAAAGGCCCTTCACCTCTCTGTGTGTGTTTATAAGAGCATGACCAGAGGAGATGCTCAAGCCTCAAGTCTTGGCTTTTAGTCCTTGGCGGCAAAAGGCTCTAAGCTTCTGGTTTGGACCTGCCTGTTTGCATACAAAGGACAGGCGGGCTGTGGGCAAAATCCAAAACCCACTGATGCATCTGCTTGGGGTTCTGCTGCTGTTTTCTTTTCCATAGCCTAGTTCTTTGTAGTTTTTACAAACTACAACCCCCACACCACCAGTGTAGTCATTCTAGAACTTCCCTTCCTCCTCAGGTTGATTGCATATTAACATACTCAGGCAAAGCTAAAGCATTAAGCGTAATTCTTAGAATGGCGTTGATGGCTTTTTATGGAACAAAAGAGGTTGAGAGGTATTTTCCTGGGGCACTAGATGTCCTGATAAATCTGAACTTATATCAGACAGACATTATTTCATTTCTCTAATCCCATGTGGTATTTATCTACATTGTGCTGGCACAGGACCTTATGCAAACTGGATTTCCAGTCAAGAGAGACCCTCTTCTTGTTTCTCCCAAAGGTATTCAGTCCCCTGAAGGCAGGTTTCCGGATGCTTTCCAATTTCCAGGCTCCTGGTGCTTTGTGCGTTCATAGATCCAGGTTGCCCTTATATGTGTGCATGTATGAAGCTGCTGCAGGTGAAAGTCAAGTTCAGGTTCAGGGTTTATGTTAATTAGATGTCTTTGGCTCCAAGTAGCAGAAATCTCAGCTCAAACGTCTTAAACATGAAGAGTTTTATTATCTCACATAATAAGAGTGAGATTAATTTAGGGAATTAACTGGATCATCAGAGACCCAATTCTTTTTCCTTTTTTTTTTTTTCTTGTTGTCCTCAGTATATTCTCCAAAGGCCACTCCTTTAATGGTTCTAAGGCATCTGTAAATAGGATGCTTATACAATGGCTGTAATAATATGGAATATCCGAGGGAAGTCAAAAGGGCTTTCCCCTTCCATGGGACTCTTTTTAAAAGAGAAGGAAATTTCCCAGAATCTTCCCGGTAAATTTCTGCTGTCTCATTGGACAACCGGGCACGTCAGCATGTGATTCCCTTCCCAGCCACAGTGTATGGCCTGAGACTGAACTGCCTGAGATCCCAGTTTCCTCCTTCCCCTGACCCCCTATTTCTGTCTACCTGCCTCTGCCCACACACCTCTCAGGACCATTATCCCTTCAAACCACCACCCACATCTAAGACTAAGCCCCCACAGCTTGTCATTTCTCCTCTGCCCTTAAGGACAGACTGAGAGCCACAGCCACAGCCATGCCGCCAGCTTGAGCCTCTAGACGGTTAAGAAGTCCCCTTTCTGTTGTGGTGTGGGGAACACTTTCCCAAGGGCCCTTGCATAACAGGACAGGAGAGAGAGAAGACTGGCACTGAGATCAGCACTGTCTAACCTGCCAGTCTGCGACAGACTCTCACCACATGTGGCGAGGGACACACAGTGACCAGAAACATCCAGTGCCCCGGGGAAAGTCCTGTGTTAGACTCCTGGTGGTGATGCCATTTCTAACCTCCTGGCAGTGAATGTCAGACACTATTTCAGATCATTCCACACAAATCATTCCAGACAGAGTGATGTGAAAATGAGCCAGGACAGTGTCTGTGGAATGGACTGATGCAGATGGTGTGATATGGCTTGGGGCTGGACAGGCAAAACTGAGATTCCTCAGAAATGGATGTTAGTGGAGACCGGTTGACTTGGTGAAAATATTTGTGTATTTCCTCCAGGGTATCAGGATCAAGGTCAAATGCATTTATGAGGTTTAAGACAACTACCAAAGATGGCTTGTTGATGTGGAGGGGAGACAGCCCCATGAGACCCAACAGTGACTTCATTTCCTTGGGCCTTCGGGATGGAGCCTTGGTGTTCAGGTAACCCCATGACCAGCTGACTTGATGTTTTTCTCAGACAATACAGATCATTCCAGACAGAGTGATGTAAAAATGAGCCAGGACAGTGTCTGCTGGAACGGACTGATGCCTGAAGCTCCAGGTTTATTTGAGGCTCTTGTTCTTTCTTTCCAGGGTCCTCTCTAGATCAGTCAGCAATCTATAGCCTGTAGGCCAAATGTGGCCCAATAACCATTTCTGTAAGTGAACTTGCACAGGATAACCGCCAGACTCACTCACTTACACACTAACTGTGATGGTTTTCTTGCTGTCTGCACAGTTGAGTACTTCCAGTAGGGATGTTATGGCAAAAGTGATAACATAGAATTCTAGTCCCCTATTGAAAAAGTTTGTGGCCCTCTTCTAGTACTTCACTGCCATGTGCTCCCCACTTGCAAATTAGGAAATAGTAGAAAGAGGACTTTGACTCGGCAGCCCTGGAATGTGAGTTCTCGGCTCAGTGCTCACCAGCTCGGGCAGACTGAAGCTCCAGAGCCGGGAGACATAGCTTGCAGCAATCGCTGTTCTGGCTTAGCTGTGCAGCCTGGGGAGGAGACGCCCTGCTCTCAGGTCTTCCACCCCAAGGGAGAACACGCCCCACCTCCACCTCCACAGGTGCCCCGAACAGGGCAGTTTTGGTAAAAGCTTCCTGGGTGGTCTTGAGACAGCATTCCAGAAGTTCTTACCTCTTTTTTGTGTGTTTTTAAGATTTATTTATTCCTGCATACAGAACAGGGGTACAGGCAGAGGTGCAGGGACAGTGAGAGGATTCACCAGAGACAGAGTGGAGAGCAGAACAGGCAGGGCAATGAAATACACTGATGAGGGAGCAGCGGGTGGGTCAAGAGAGGGCTGCTGGGCCATGTGGGTCAGCTCCCAGCGGGGATCGAACTCATGCTGAAGTGGCTTTAGCATCTTAGTGCTGTGCTTCAATCCTCTGCGCCACCAGGGAGGGCCCAATTCTTACCTCTTTTTAGTGAACTTGGACTGTTCTCAGGTTTGTCAGTGGTGGTTGGAAGTAACTCGATTCTCTGGACAACTTTCCCCATACTCCTCACTAGAAAGTGTAGGAGCTGAGTTTCTCAGGGGCCAGGACTGACTTATATAAAACAGCTATGTGGGGAGCATGATAACATCCTCACTTGAAGTTAGACCTCTGCTTCTCAGATGTTGCACCAGAAGTCCAGCATTCCCTGGGAATCTGCTAGAAATGCAGATTCCCAGCCCCACCACCTCATCACCCTCCATGAACCAATGAAAACAAAACTCCTGGCTCAGGGCCTAGCAGTCTTTTTCCAGGTGAATCTGATACCTGCGAAGAAGTGAAACAACCACTCAGTTCTCTTGGCCATCTGCTCCAGGAGTTGCTCTGACTTTCCTTTTTTTTTTTTTTTAAAGATTTTTATTTATTTATGCATCCAGAACTGGGGTACAAGCCAGAGGTGCAAGGACGGTGAGAGGATTCACCAGAGACAGAGCGGGGTGCAGAACAGGCAGATCGACGAAGTACATTGCTGAGGGGAGCAGCGGGCGGGTCAGGAGAGGTCTGCTGTGCCATGTGGGTCCACTCTGGCCCGGGATTGAAGTGGTACTGAAGCCGCTGCAGCTCGCTTACAGTGCTGCGTCCTAACCTGTTGCACCACCAGGGAGGGCCTGACTTCTTTTCTTTAGCATCCCCTCTTCCCTGACTAACACAACTTTCACTACTTGACAGAGAATTGAATTGACAAAAGAGAGCTTCACCAAACTACAGAAAAGATGAAGACATAATTCTGGGCCTCTGTGGGTCATGTTTTGGGATTACTGATAGGGTACCATAATGTATGCCTTCTTAATTAAAGTAAAGAAATGGCATTCTGAGAGGAAATGGCATTTGTGCAGCCTCATCTTTGTCTCCAGGTGACTGAGCATGCTAAGTGTGAGAGCCTGTCATGTGGGGAGACTTTGGAGAGGTGTGTGGTGGACGGCTAGAGGCTGACTCCTGAGGTAGCTTCTTGCCGTCTCACCCCTTTACCCCGCTGGTCCAGAGGTCAAACACCCAGCTCTTCACACCCCTTTAGGCTGACTGCTGTGAAGCCATTTTCTTGTGGTTTTCCTGTGGTTAACCTCACCAAGGCCTCAAGTACTCGATCGTGCCCAGAAAAGGGAACTGAAACAGTAGTCCAGGCGCGGACGGGAGGCCCTACTTCCCACTGAAACCGCCAGCTAAAACCCACTCACCACCCTCCCAGGCCGGATAGGGAAACCTGAGCTGTACAGGGGCCACCCTGCAACTCCCCAGACTCCCACACCAGCCCTGGCCAGACCCTCAGCAACCCCCCCCCCACCACCACCTGTCTGCACCCGTGGACCCCTTTTAACAATTCACTCCATCCCGGACATGGTTCTTATGTTACCATTTCTTTCTCAAGTTTCTGAAAATTGGCCCAATGTTTTCCTTGTAAGCCGGAGTTCTGGGTATAAGTGCAAAGGAGAAAATGCTTAGCCAGCCGAGGCCTGAGGCCTAGCACTGCTGCTCGGCCTTCCTTCCGCTGGGCTGGGCAGTATCTCCCCTCATCCATCACTCCACCCAGGCGCAGGCAGTGCTGAGCTTGGCTGGGCCTGGAAAGTAACCAGAGAGCAAGCCAGTGGTTTCAGAGTGTCAGCAGAAGGTGAGCCAGCGGGGAGCTGGTTCCAGAGTAGATTTCTAGGCCTGCCCTCAGAGATGCTGATGGAGGTGTGGGTGGGCACCAGCCTGATCGGAAAGAAGCACCCAGCTGGTTCTGGAATCATGCCCTGGAAGCCGGAGTGGAGGAGGTCAAAAGCATGTGACCAGATGTGCACAGAACCAGGTGTGCCCAGTACCTGTGAGTATAAGATGCCTGAGTGCAACCCAGCTGTGGTGTGGAAGGAAGGGAATAGCCGTGAGGACTGAAGAAGTTAATTCACATAAAAAGCTTAATGCGGGACCCGCCAGGCATAGTTCTTCGTGCTAATGATCATTTAAAATGATTATCCTTCATCGAGTGTGTTCTGTTTTTAGAAATTCCTACCTCAGATTAATCACATATGTATGGAAATTAGCTTCATAAAACATAGCTACTGTAACTGTTATTGTTATGATTTGTCGTAAGACATGGGCTCTGGACCTCCCTGGTGGCACAGGGGCTTTGGCACAGGTCTCTGAAGTTATTGCCAGCCACTGCAGCACCAGTGGGGTCCCTAGCCAGGGAGCTACCCACGTGGCACAGCAGACATCACCTGTCCAGCCCGCTGCTCTCCTCAGCAGTGTATTTCAGTAGATCTACCTGTTCTGCTGCTACCCACTCTGTCTCTGGTGAATCCTCTCACGACCCCCCCCCCCCCCTCTGGCCTACACCCCAGTTCTTGTATGCCTAAATAAATTTTTTTTTAATTAAAACAAAAAAAAAAAAGACATGGGCCCTGCCCATTAGCAGCCCACACTGGCGGAACTGAGAGTGTGAACTGGCCCACAGGGTAGATGGATCATTTTTTGAGGTTTTGGTGTTCCTTCCAGTTTCAAAGCAGACAATTGGAAACCTAAATGCTGACTTCTTTTGTTGATTTACTGCTCAAAGTTAATAAGAAAGAGCAATGAAACTCTAAAAAAATTACTTATGGTTTTGGTGCAGGATTAAAAAGAAGAAAGGGAATCAAAGAACTCAGCTAAGATTGTAGTTCTTTTTGTTTCTTTTATTTTTGTTTCCTTTTGTCCTATGATTATAGGTGGGATAAAACCCATTGAAATGTTTGTAACAAATAACTTGACAGACAGTCTTTCCCACAAATTTTCCATATGACCTTAGCTACATTTTTATGCAACAGAGAAAGGAAAGAGATCCAACACAGCAAAGCCATAGGCCAACCCCTACAGGTGCCACAGCCAAGAGGGTCCTCAGAGGCGCCACCTGGTGGCTCAGCGTTGGTGCTCACCTGGAGCTTTTCCTGCATGCCACTTAAATATCCAGCTAAGGGCAGCATAACCAGTTCGTGTTCACCAGATTCACGAGACAGTGGTAGATAAATCAGACATGCTCTCATTTGTTCATTCAAATGTTTTTACTTTTTAAAAAATTGGGGTACAGTTTAATAAAGTACCCAAGTCTAAACAGGTGAACACCTGTGTAACCACCACCCAGAATGAGATACAGAACATTTCCTGCACCCAGGAAGGCTCCCCTCAGCCCTCCCCCAATGAAGGTAGCACTTTTTTGGGTCATGTATTATTATATCAGAGAAAGAGATATTCCGGAACAGGGAGAGCACAGGGCAGTGGGCATCTCGGCAACCTGGAGCTGCCCCAAGCTGTAAACTTTGAAGAGTTTTTCCTTTTGGGAGTGGGGTGGGAGGGTGGGAGAGGGGAATCCCTCTTTATTATGTATAACTTGCTCCCGTTGCTTGTCCCAATTCCTGGACTAATTGTAACTCTCTTCCGTGGTGTGTGTGCGGGGGGGGGGGATCCTAGTTTGAAGACTCTTCCCGAGCCTGACAGACCTGCCAGACCTTATCTGGTCCTTGAAACAGAGAGATACCCCAGCTGAACTGAGGGAGTATGCAGCCATGTTCCTCTGGCATGTGGGAGAGCCGTTTTCTACCCTTGACATAAGAGTTTCTGGAGAAATAGGAAATCATTTGGAGAATTTGAAGTCAGAAAGAAGTAATTGGAGAAATCAGACCACTGAGATACCAGGCTGCCTGCCCCCCGCCCCTCCCCCCGCCCAATCTGCTCTGTAGCCAGTGTCCTGTCTGCTGGGGCCCTGTGGCGCCCCTGAACATTCTAGCTCTTTGCAAAAACAGCAGCCAGAGGAGCGAAGCCCATTCTTTGTCCAACCACAGTGGAAAAGATTTCTGTTCACTGGATCACAGCTACACGCCAGTGCTGTGTCCCTGCAATGAATACCCAGGTCACCTTCACTCAGATCCCGACGTGCCAGACTTGGGGTTACACATTTACCACCTGCTGCTTTACTCACACACATGACTGCTCTTCCAGGAGGCCTAACACTTGGTGCAGTTTTCTCTTACTGCTAGTTCCTCCTGGGACACGGTTAATCCTGATAGGAGCTGCATGAGGTATGGTTATTATGGAGCAGGGAGGGGGGTTGGTGCTGGGGGTGTCATTTGTTTGGCTGCTCCTATGTCCTCTGCTCTTCACATGTGTTGCCTGACACCTTGCGATTCTTCTGGGAAGGTATTGTTAGGCTGCTTTCACAGGGGAGGAAGCTCAGACTCGGAGATGAAGCAGGTTGCCCAAGGTCACAGCTCACCAGCATCACAGGAGACCAAAGTGGGTCGGTGTGAGCTGAGTATCTGTGGTCTTGTGTGGCTCTGAGCTGCCTCTTGGGAAACCACTGGAAACCATGCAGAGTCACCCCGCTGAGTGTCTGCCGCCCACTCACAGCACCACCCATGTTCATTCATGTCTTCAGCAAGCATTTGGCCACTACATAATAAATTCTGAAAAATTCCACCTCCAGGCTGCACCCCACCAGGAAGCACTTGATGTGGAAAAATTCATCATTAAACAGTGGGTTTCTGTAGGGTCAGCATGAGATGTGTCCTGTCACCCAAATGCTATTCTTAGTTAAATGCCTACAAGTATTTAACTTGTAAAGAAAGGGCCTTTGGAGCTTCTTCCAGGAAGCCAAGTGTCTTCTCCTGTTCTTTTCTCAGAATGAGTGTCCACACAGTGCTCAGAAGCTAATACAGGTTTCCTCACCATTGTTATTTCTTGGGTAGGGAGGTAAAGGAGAGACACAGACTTCCCCAAGATGAGGAGAGAGCTGTCCCTGGTGGAACACATTCCTCTCAAAAGCACGATTCCATGGGCTCTATTCTGTTAGGAGGGAAAGGCCAGGCATTTGGTCCAGTGCCCAGGCTAAAGTAGTCACTCACTAAATATTTGTTGAATGAATTAAATTAGAATAATTGAATGAACCCTGGACTAAGAGGACTATTTCTCCCTGGTAAACAACTTGTTCATGTCTTCTGATACGCTTTGGGTATCAGGGTGTCTGGAAACTGACAATGAGAATAGAAAACTAGTAGGTGGGGTGGGAGGTTTGGAGGTGAGGGTGGGGGGGGATGTTGGCAGATAATAATCTCAGTTAAAGTTCTACACTAACTTTGGGATTTTAGACAAATTCTCTTAATCCCTTTGGGACTTTCTTCTGCAATGTTCTGTTCTGTTTTGTTTTTTTCTTTTTTTAAGTAAAAACACATGTATCAGTTTCCAACGATTGCCATAACGAATTACCACAAATTGGGTGGTTTATAAGATAGAAGTTTGTTCTTCCGCGGTTCTGGAGTCTCTAGTCCAAAATGCAGGTGTTAGGAGGATCGGCTCCTTCTGGGGTTCTGAGGAAGAGACTACTCTGTGTTCCTCCCTTGGGTTCTGCAGTGGCTGACAACCCTCGTGTCCGTGGCTCGTGGGACAGCCTTCCAGCCTCTCCTTCATCTTCCCTGTGTGGCCCTGTCTGCGTGTCCACACTCCCTGTTCATGTGAGAACCCCAGTCATAACGGATTATGGATGCTTGACCCAGTGTGACTTTATCTTAACTAGTGACATCGGCAATGACTTTCTGCTCACTTAAAGTCACATTATGAGGTGGTGGATGGATTTGGGACAGGGGACACCGTCAACCTAAAGCAACATTATAACATCCTTCTTGTATGGGCCTGCTGACATGAGGTAACTGGAGTCAGCAAATTCATAGAGCCGGAAAGTAGAATGGGGATGTCAGGGGGAATGGAAGCATGTTGTTCGGGAGGGATAGTTTCTGTGTTGCAAGATGAAGTGTGTAGAGATGACTTGCACAACCAAGGGAATGTCCTTAATACTCCTGAAAAATGTTCACTTAAAAATGGTTAAGATAATAAATTTTGTCATGTATATTTTAAACAATTACAGATAAAAAATATTTATAATCATTCATGGCCTTGCCTGGAACCATGTTTTGCTTTGTGGGAAGAAATCCATGCTCTTCGTTCCAAACAAGTTTCGCCATGACAACCTTATCAGCGAGCATCTGCTGTGGCTCACGCTTTGACTCTCTGCCCATCTTGTTCTCTGATGCCTTTAGCTACAACCTGGGCAGTGGCGTGGCATCCATCATGGTGAATGGCTCCTTCCACGATGGCCGGTGGCACCGTGTCAAGGCTGTGAGGTGAGAGCTCACCATGGCAGAGACAGCTGTGGCCCAGCAGAGAGGGGGGTGTGCTCTCCAGGCCCTCTGTCCTGTCCCCCAAGAAACCTACTCTCCTGTTCCTGCTCATGCAGACTCGTGCGCCCAAATCCCATAGGTGCCTGCAGTCACATGACAGGCCAGAGAGGCTGAACACCCACCTCCTCACCTAGCAGCAGCCTTCTCGACAAAGAACTTTCCAATGGTTAACCTGGAAGGAGAGCTCATTATCTTGTGAGATCTAGAAGTCTCCACTGAGAAAAGAAATCAGGGCCTGAGGACTCTACAGGATGCATCAAATCTCGTTATGTAGATGCCTGACCACTTCACTTTTCTGATATTATATGGTCTGAACCTTAGAAGCCTTGTGAACTCTATCCTTTTACATAGTTACCACTCACAGAGGTAGTTACCCTGACTTCTAATTAACATTTATCATTTCCTTTCAATTGTAATTTTATTTTTTTTTAAGGTTTATTTATTCATACAGAACTGGAATACAGCCAGAGGTGCAGGGGCGGTGAGAGGATTCACCAGAGACAGAGCGGGATGCAGCCTAGGCAGATCGACGAAGTACACTGCTGAGGGGAGCAGCGGGCGAGACAGGAGAGGGCTGCTGCACCATGTGGGTCACCTCCAGGGCTGACGATCGAACTTGCACAAAAGTGGCTGTGGCCAGCTTGCAGAGCCGCGTCCCAACTTTTTGTGCCAACAAGGAGGGGCCTCAATTGTAATTTTTACTATACATATTTTAGGAAGTATCTAGTAAGACCACCTTAGCTACATATAAAAAGACAATTTTGGACCCTTCCTGGTGGCGCAAGCATGGGAGGCACAACACTGTGAAACTAGCCACAGTCACTGCAGCACGAGTTCGATACCTGGACAGAGAGGGTGACTCACATGGTGCAGCAGACCTCTCCTGACAAACCCAGTGCTCCCCTCAATAGTATGCTTAAGTCAGTCTGTCTATTCTGTTCCCTACTCTATCTCTGGTGAATCCTCTCACCCCCCACCTCTCACTGCTGGCCTTGTATGCATAAGTTCTTGTATGCATAAATAAATCTTTTTTTAAAAGTCTATCTTGCCAAGATAGAAGTTTCCAGATGAACCAAAGGGAGTTCTGTGAGGATTTAGCTGCTGGGATGTCAGTGGATGAGGTCCTGAGCAAAGCTGCAGTCAGTTTCCTGCTCAGCTCACATGTAATCTGTGATGGCCTGAACTAGCCTTGCTCATCCCCATGTGTCCCCCAAATAGGATGAACCAGGAAACGACAAGGTGAGTGATGGGTTAAAAGCAAGAAGATTGGTTTACAAACTTGAATTTATTTGAGAAGTTAGAACCTAAGCCCTTTCTCAGCATTATGTAAATGGCACACTGCTCATTCCTTATCCCTGAAAGAATAACGAAAGCTAATTTTCTGGAGAAAGTAGCATCATGAATGTCTGTAATGGAAGACAATAGGCATCCATAAATGCTGGACCACTCTACATGATATAAATGCAGACTGGGAACTATGAAAGTTCACATTTGAATATTAAGAAGCCAGTCATTTTCCCCCTGTTGAATTCTACAATGTTGATAGCAAGTCTGTACCCTACAGTAAGAAGAATAGAAAATTCAGGTATCTCTTGAGGAAATGACTGAGCCAGATCATCAGTACTAAGAAGCCACAGTCAACACATCCATCCTGGGCACAGAGTTTACAATCCACCGTTCAAGGCCCAGTGCTTAACTGTGAAGTGGTAGTCTAGGACCATCCAAAAAATCTCCAATATAAAAATGAGTGTCAGGACAACTAGACATAATAGAGCAACCTGGAGGAAACAGAGACTATGAATGAAAAAAAAATGATAAAAAATTAATATCATCAAAACACGAGGTTATTAACCCAAGAAACAAGAACTGTATACTACAGAAAAGGAACATCAAAAGACAAAAAAATAACTAAAAAATTGTGGCCTAGAGATACAACCCCTAAATGTATAGAAACAGGCATTTTCTTGAAGAAGTTTCATGGGGTTGTATGTTTGCAAACCAACTTAGAAAAATGCAAAGGCCTTACCACAGACAACCCCCTCCATCTTCCCTGTCTTCAGTGTCACTTTGGAGTAACTTTATGGGTCCTTTAGAAACTTCTAGGTCATTCTTTGTTCTCTGCTAGAATAACCCAACTCTCTGCCTCCAAAAACTGCAGTTATACATAGAATAACATCCAAACTTGTCATCACCTGTCACCATCACCCCACCTCTTAAAGTTCTGTTCCCTCTCGCTTTCAGGAGGAAGTCTAAACTGCTTCCTCTGCCCTTCACCATCTGCTGCTGGTTTCGTTTTCACCTTTCTGCTCCCACCTCAAGAATTCTTTCACTTAGTTTGTGCTAGCACCTTCTCTCTTCTCCCTCTGTGCTACATGTTTTCCTAGGCTCTTCCTTCACTTGATCTACTCCAGTTTGACCATTCAGACAATATCCTTTGAGACGCATTGTCTAGCTCTCTCCAGTAACTGTCTCCTTCCTGGTTAGGCCAGAAACACCTCCCATGTAACCCCACACCACCTGGCTTGCTTCCAGTGGACTCTCTAATGCCATTTGCAGTCTGTCTTTTCTTGCTTTGTAGGCTGTAAACTCCTAAAGGCCAGGAATGTTTTTGGTTGTTGTTGTTTGATGTTTGTGGCTATCATTAGCATTTTGCTGATTCATAGTAGGACTTTAAACCTATTTTTATTGAAATGAAAGAATATTTGAATGGAGTTTAAAAACTGATGTGGTTTTATAGAGATGGCCAATCAGGAAAGATCACTGTGGATGATTACGGGGCCAGAACTGGCAGATCACCTGGCATGATGAGACAGCTCAACATCAACGGAGCCCTGTACGTGGGTAAGTTATCTTCAACCGAACCCACATTATGCCGATGCTTTTGCCTGTGAGTCCTTCCTTGTCATGTGTTGCTCCTCAAAATTGTGTGCTTGTGGGCCCTCCCTGGTGGTGCAGTGGGTTAAGGTGCAACACCATGAAGCTATCGCAGCCACTGCAGCATGAGTTCAATCCTGGTCATGGGGGTGACCCACATGGTGCGGCAGACCTCTCCTGACCCACCTGCTGCTCCCCTTAGCAGTGTATTTCAGTACATCTGCCTGTGCCTGTTTTGTTCTCCCTCTGTCTCTTGTGAATCCTCTCACCACCACTGCCCCCTGCACCGCTGGCCTGTACCCCAGTTCTATATGCATAAATTAATAAGTAAATCTTTAAAAAGAAAACAGAAACTGTGCACTTACTGGATCAGTTAGATACTTAGAAATCAGGAAGCTCTCCAAATATTCCATTCTTCCATTTTCTGAACTTCTGACTCATGCCTGAGGGGGCAGGAAGTTCTTAGATGCTTTTGTCCTCTGGACAGATCCACCAGGAAAGCCATGCTTTTCTTGTTTATAGAACAGGAACCTGATAAATATAGCTCTGTGAATTTTCTCTGGGGAAGGAAGAGCTTTCATTTTGGGCCATCTCAGAATTAAAATGAGTGATATTTCTATGAATAGCTTAGAATCAACCAGTGTGTTTCCATTGACATGAAAAAGTACCTCTATCCAAGTGATGGTTTCTAAAACTGGATTTAATTAAAAGTACTCAATATCAGTGTATTGTTTGGGCTTAAGATGCCATCAACTTTAACTGCTTTTTATACTACTTTTTTGTGTGTTCTTTAACATTTCAGAATTTACTAGCTGCTTTTTGGTTTTAAGTTGCCAGTGGGTCCAGAAATCACACATGGGGAGTGTATTTGTAATATTTGGTTTTGTATTAAATTGATCCAAGGCAACCTGTTCTTGCAAAGATATGCATTAGACAGACGCGATACACCGAGCAGTCTGAGGGACCCAAGGCCCTAGCTTAACTATCAGCCAAGGGACACCGAGCTCAGGACATTTACGTCTCGTAAAGAGACACCTTCCCTTGGTTCACCCCCACCCCTCTTGTTTCCTGTCAGGTGGAATGAAGGAAATTGCTCTCCACACCAACAGGCAATACATGCGAGGTCTCACGGGCTGTATCTCTCATTTCACCCTCTCCACCGATTACCACATTTCCCTCGTGGAAGATGCCGTGGATGGGAAAAACATCAACACTTGTGGAGCCAAGTAACACCAGCTGGCCTTGCCCAAGGGATGGAGCCTTCTATCCTGGGAATCCCAGGGGGCCCCACGACCCTGCCCGATGCCATCCACAGAGGCATGGGGACCAGGTGTGCTTCCTTCCAGCAAGGAGAAAGTATACCCTGATGAGAATCTAGAACCAAGACGGGAACTCCTGTGTGGCCTTTCCTGCTGGCGCTCCTTGGGCCAAGCCCAGCGGAGGATTACTTTGTGGAGGAAGTGGCAGACTTAGTCCATTGAATGTTCCGTGGCTACTAGAGGTCACATCAATGCAAATTCCAGATCCTGTCTGCAGTAGCTCCTTGACTGTGTTGTGATTCATAGTGTAAAAGAATGAGAGACCCGAAGGTCAGTATTAAAATACTTCTCTCCTTCCCTGACTCATGATACTCTTCCAGACAGCAGCAAAACAGTGTGACCTTGAACCTCGAATTTCTCACCTTGGCTCATGAATGAACCCCTTCCAGTCCTCATCGGCTGGCTCAGTGCACTCTGACTATTCCATGGAAATGTGGACATGGGGAAGCTAGATGGAATCCTAATCGTCACACCACCCCGAATGAGCAATCCCGAATTTTTCTAACACAAATCTAAGAACATAGGCACCATGATTTTTTAGCTGTCATTTTGTATGTGTATATTTTTATAGCTGCAGATTGTCCACAAAGTATACTTTTACAGGTTTGGGTGGGTAACCCTGAATTCTTTGCACACTTCCTAAAATTTTCTTCCAAAGGAGGCTGGTTTGGGCTCTTGGTGGCACTTGTGGAAGTGGATATAAGTTGGGGTAAACACCTTTCGTTAAAAATTAGCCGCTCAAGGAGATGAAGGTGCAGCTTTCCGAAATAAGCAGATTAAAAGAAAGTGTGTTCCTGAGGTGGGTCACTGTCAGTTTTTTTTTTTTTTTATGGAGTGGAAATATCTGTAGCAAACTTGAATAAAGGAGCTGAAGAAGACTAAGTCTCATTTACTTGGTCATTCGTTGTGGATGTGTGACTGGCCTTTGCAGAGACCGTGGCCAGAAACAGCACTAACACAGCTGTCTGCCCGGCCTGTCCACGTGGGCATGAGCCCTGGAATTGAGGCCACTTCCTTCTGAGCCGTCTGCAATGCCGCTTTGCTGGTCACATGTGACCCCGAAGACAGCTGGCTTTCTGGCCAGGTTCCCGTGACAGGGCTCACTGGGGAAAAGGTGGAGTGTGCCCTGCCCCCAAAGAGCAGGACACACGAGCCCTGTCACACAGGCGCCTGTAGTTCGTCCCAGGCAGGTCTCTGTTCCTGGTGTGCCGCGTTCACTCGGGAAGGCTTCTGGGTTTTATGCAAAGCACAGTTTGGGACACATTAAGAATTCTAAAATATGAACAGACAAATTTGAGGTCATTACCTACGGTTCAGTCTTCTGCCCCAAGTCTTTATGGACCCTTTGCCAAGCAGGATCCTTCCCACCAAAGGAATAAATAAATCATCCTCTCCTCTAGAGGTCACCTTGAGTGTGCACTTTGGAGAAAGGATTCAAAGAAAGCAGGTTTTGTCACACCCATTCTCACCTCAACATCGTTTCCTTGGAGATGGCAAGGGTCAGTGCATCCAGAGATTGAGTGGGATTGCTTTCATAGCATGCTTTGATGTTACCTCCAGCCATACAACTTGCTCTGATTTTTTTTTTTTTTTAGCAAAATAATCAGTTGTGTTGACCTCAGAAAGGCTGCGTTGTAGACAAGCGATTGTTCCTTGCACATGCTATAAAAGAAAAAGACAGTGGCCCAGGGACAGGAGCCTGGGAGTGCATTGCAAAGCTGATGCAGACTCTGAACCACCTGCTCCCTGGGTGAGGCATGAAAGGGACTAAAAGTGATGGTGTGATGGACACAGGGCAGTGAAGATCTTATTGCTGAGGACGAGGGACTTGCAGGGTAGGAGAGCCCAGAGAACCCGCACTGTTCATGGGAGTCTGAGGGCAGAAGAACAGGGCAAGACCACATAGCCCAAGTTAGCTCTGCTATGCTCTTGGGACAGAAGCAGGTGGATGCGTCCAGAACAGAGGTAGCTGTGAGAAGACTGTCCAGCAGCTAAGGGGTTAGACCTGGGTTCAGGTGAGCAGGTGAGCCAGGCCAGGGTTTGTGGACCCCAGTGTTCTAAGCAGGTGTGTTATCATCCCCAGCCTGCTGCACAGCAACCATGAAGCCTTACTCAGTGGTAAATTGTTGCGTGTGTGCATTGTGCTTTGTGTGGCCAGCTTGGCAGCTCTGCTGGTCTTGGCGGGGCTTGATGAGGTAGATTTCCTGTTCTCGGCTGGACTCAGTCACATGTAGAGGAATCAGTCAACTTAGGATGACCTTTGCTGGGATGGCCAGGTGATTTGAGTCTTCCCACGTGACTTGCATCTTGCTCCTTTGGCCAGTCGGCTAGCCTGATAGGCTCTCAGTGGTGGGGGAGGGTAGGAGCCCCACAGTGAAGCCGGAAGACTCTCCCAGACTAGGTTTGGAACTGCCTCATGTCACTGAAGCCACATCCTATTAGTTATAGTCTGTAGAAGCCAGACATGTAGAAACAGATTCTACCTCCACAGGGAAAGGAACTTTAAAGTCACCAGGCAAAGGGCCCAGATACAGGGAGGGATAAAACAGCGCCATTAATGCAATTAGCCCGCATGGCAGGGTGCATGCTGTTGAGAGCAGTGCAGTCTGGGATGAGGTGGCCCCTTGACACGGCCCCTTCACAGGGACACTTGGGACGAGGTCTGTGAAGTTCACAGTAACAGGCCAGCTGGTGGGGCAGCACTCGCCCCTCCTCAGCCTCACCTGCTGTGCCCAATTCCCTCGCCCTCCCACCTGTTGCCCGACTCTTGTGCTGTGTTGTTACTCTAAGGAGGAGGGCCTGGCAGATAGGTGAGGCCTGTGCCATGGTTTTGGGGTAGTGGCTTTTGAGAAGACTGGCTGGATTCTTGGTTCAAGAAAGACAAGTAATGGAGTAACCAGTGAGTTTGAAGGCTAACACCAGCCCTGTGCCGTGAAGAGATCCTGAAGCATGAGTTCCTGAAAGGCTTTGTCCCACAGTCAAGGTTCTGAGAAAATCCCCTGGAAATTTCTGTGTATTCTAAGCAGCAAGGATGACTGGAGGTAGGTGAGGGAAGGGACTGTTCTTGCTTTTCTTGTTAAAACTGACTTTCACAACCCCATATGTTTCCTCCTGGGGTTTCTCTCAGGAAGGTCTATGGGTCCTTTTGTCCCCACTCTGTCCTAGAAGCTCCAGGGCCCGGCCTATCACGCCCCACTCTGAATAGGTGCGCTGCTGTCCCCTCTCGGCCTTTCATTTCCTCCCGCTTCCTGTCCCAGTCTCCAGGCCCATCCAACACAAACAGTCCCTCTGGTTTCCACACTAATAGCCCTGGTTTCTGAGTAACTGGTGCTTTCCTTCCGACTTCCCTCCACCAGCCACCTCTTCTTTCCCTCGCAAGGAGCTGCCGCCTCCCTGAGTGGGAGGAAGGATCTCGGAAATGTGCCTGGAGTTGGCAGGCTGAATGCTTTCCACTTGGAGGAAAAGCTGCATTTTTCACCTTTAACCCAGAAAAAAACGGTTCTCAGAAACCTTGTTTTTAGCACGAAGAGTTCCCAAAGAAAGAGGAATAGGGAGTGGGAGGGGCTCCAGCCCCTCTCAGAATCCTGACAGCCAACCCTCCCACCCCCACCCCCAAAAGGCTGTTCTTCCCTGGGAGGGAAGCACCAGGGGACAGTCTGCAGAGGCCCAGCTGCTGGGGAAAATAAAGGCGGAGAATCCCAACTCCAAGTGGAAAGGCAAAGAATAATGTAGGAGAGGGGCCTGGAAGAAGCATGAGCTCTTTCCTTTTTCCTCTTCCATCCTCTGACCCCACCAGGAGCTCACGGTGGCTGCCCTTGCAGGTAGAGGTGGGGGCTGGTGAGTGCTTGACAGCCTAGACCCAGGGCTGGGAAGGGCGTGGGATAGTTCCAGAGTCATCCCAAGACACTGAGGAGGAGACTGGCGGAGCTAGATGGGACAGCGCATGGGATCAACGGGACAATTTTTTTTTTTTAAAGATTTATTTATTTGTGCATACAGAGCTGGGGTACAGGCCAGAGGCTTAGGGGCGGCGAGAGGCTTCACCAGAGACAGAGTGGGGAGCAGAACAGGCAGATCGACGAAGTACACTGCTGAGGGGCGCAGCGGGCGGGCCTGGAGAGGTCTGCCACGCCATGTGGTCACCTCCAGGGCAGGCGGGAATCGAACTCATGCGGAAGCGGCTTTAGCTTCTCAGTGCTGTGCTTTAACCTGCTGCGCCACCAGGGAGGGCCCCCAACGGGACAATTCTTAACGCGGAGTGTGTGCTGCTCGCCTGGCCCACACCGCAGTTGAGTGCAGACTGGGGGTCTTCTGAGTGCGTCGTCACTGGCTGTTCCACAGCACACCCCAAACAGGAGAGAAATGCCCGAAGGCATTTAAATGGTGGGTCCTGTGGCAGTGACCACGGCATCAGGAAGCTCCAGCCTATAGGTGACTCTATTTCGGAGCAAAATGACTCATCCAGTTCAGCCACATGGACTGTCTCCTAGGATAGGCCCTGTGAGTAATCATACTCAAACGTCACGTTCAAAGAATGTTCACATACTTGATCTTAATAACAGCCCTTCTGTGATGGCCAGAGCAGATGGGCACAGGGAGACAGAAGCTGGCAAGAAAGCCTGGGTGGCTTAGCCATAGGCCAGCATTGAAGGGCAGCCATGACACTGCCCTGGAGACCTTTCTACTCCTCCCCCCACTTTGAGCCTAATATGGCCTGCCCACAGGTACCAGGATGTTTGGTGGCATTTCGGGGGCTCCTTCATTGGCAAGAACCTCGTGGCTGAAGGGATTTTCTCCTTCTGGCTCTGAGTCTCCCTCTCCCTGAAGTTCTCCAGGGGCAAGGACTCCAGGGAGCACATCCGAAAGGAGAGATCAGACCTGCTCTGTGGCGATGGGATTTGGGCCTCCTGACAGGCAATGAGGCCTGGGTTTGAACTTTTCCCTTCTCTCCTTTGCCTACCTCGCCACAAAGAACCTTTAGAACTAAGGGGAGTCGTTGCAAACTACTTCTAAGCAGCAGTGTGCTCTCCGGGGCCCCTGCCCTCCCCGGCCCAGCCAAGAGCTGAAAGCACAGGGCCGCAGCAGAGCAAACACTCCCCGCTCGCCCCTTCTTCCTGCCTGCCCTTGCAGAGATATCTTTGTCCTAGAAAGTACACGGCTCCTGGGAGCACTTGTCTTTTCCTGGAAAGATGGGAGAGGAACACTCCACTCAGCATTTGGGATGAGGTGGCTGAATTTTTGTCTTTGTTCTTCTCGCTTGCTTGAGATCCAAGTGACTCAAAGAGGCACGTATGGCAAACGTGGGCACTGCCTCTCCACATGCCCCAGCTGCCCAGGCCTACATGACCCCAGCCAGGAGCTCTGACCTCCTTGGATAGTCCACTTTTCAGGGGCTACCACTCTCACTTGGCCACAGGAGGACTTGGATTGAATTGTCTCTGAGAAGGAAGGCCAGGGAAGCTCAAAGAATTTGCTCATAACCACTCATTTTTAGAAACAAAAATAACAGGCACCACGCCAAAGGGATTAGCTGCGGAAAGCCTAGCGAGGAAATTGGCTGAGGGAAGGCGGAGGCAGAGCAAAGAACAGGGAGGCCCAGACCAGCAAGCCGTGGGGGGAGGGGCACAGTTCTGCTGCCTGCTGCATGGTGACCTCCGGGCCTGGCTGAAGACGCACATTCTCACTCCACTCAGGGCTCCAAGGGCCAGAGAGCCGGGGCGGGGAGGCTCCGTCAAGTGCTTTGGAAAATGTGCTCGGGGGTCGACCAGGACACATTTCTATGACCTCTGAAAGGAAAACAGCCGAGCCACCCCCTGGCACGGCCTTTGACCCCATTCAGCACCGTAGCATGTAACATGAGGTCACAGCCAAGGAGCTGAAGCCCTCCAAGTGTGTTTGACTCCTCGGAGTCCTTAGATGGAGGGGGCTAGAGAGTAAAGTTGTTTTCTGTTTTAAATTTCATCAAATTTTGGCTCCGTGGTGCAATGGATACTGCACTGGACTCTGAATGTCACAGTTTTTGTAAATTTGTGTTTAACTGGCCTCACCATCACAGTGCACCACCACCGAGTCCCCCAAGTCCACCACCATGTGTGCAGCCTTCCTGCTATGTCCTTGTCCCTTCCCACCCAACCCCCACTGGATGTTTCAGTCCTCAACTTTCAAGGGTGAGTTTTTAAGTCTTTTTTTCCTAAGTCCTAAGAATTGCTGTAGCATTTCCTTTCACAGATGCTCATTGACACTTTTTCATTTTGTGCACAGTTATGTTGAGGGCTCCTATGTGCAAACCAACCCCTGGATGAAACCTTCATGAGAACATAAAGGGACATAAAAGGATCCAGAGCCAGCTTTGATTTGGATCCGCAAATCAACGTGTTCTTCAGGGTTGTGGTTCCAGGTGAAAGTCTGGCCTCTTCCAAGCTCACTGGCCACTGGCTTCTTCATTGGGAAATTAAATCAAAAGTGGGGAATTGTTAAGGGGAAGGATGTCCTAAAGGAACTCTGCAGAGTCTTATGGACTCCACCCCCTACGCCGGCTTTCTAGACTCTACCCCCTACTCCAGTAATTGGGAACTACAACTCCCAGCAGTACCAGGGAGAGAACTGCGAGGACCCAAGGACGGAGCTAAGCAGGCATTCTGGGACAGTGGGGGATAAATAGGGCACCACTGAATCTCTCGCTCTCTCACTCAGGAAACGGCTCTCCAGACTGCGTGACACGGGGGCTTTCAGTTAGTTTTTTACCAGAGCTCCAAGTCAGCGGAACTGGTAAGCTATTCCAGTTGTTGTTTCCTTTTCTTTTCCCCTTTTGTAAATAAACCCATATTGACCCTTTTGTGTGTGTCTGCAGGACAACTGAATTTTAGGCACTGGTGAGGCCCCACAAACAGGCCCAGTTCACACTGGGTGCCCTGTAACAATAAGACTGAATCCAGTTCTCTGGGGACATTTGGCCTGAGAAGAAAGTTTTGATATAGAAAAGAGCTAAGTGTTACTTCTGAGAATCACTCGGCCTTTTGGCTAAGATCAAGTGAAGTGCTGCTTCTGAGTAGACTATACAGCCCAGAGCTGACTGATCTACAAATAGATGCCTGTAAGGTCACTGTTATGTCCTGGAAAAGTAGCTGTAACTGGGGAAGAGAGGTGTGATAGGAATGGATCACTTGGTCATGCATTTGGAAAGATCCAGAGACCCTAACCCCAAAGGCATTAAAAAAAAGTGGGGGAGATTCTGAAGGTAGAAGGAAAGTGGGTGGGGAAAGGAGCCTAACCTGTTGACTCTACAGATAAAGCCCATTTAATCTCTTAGTGCTGCTGTCAAAGATAACAGAAAGCTGTTATCTTTGTTATCCAACATCTTCTAGGGAGAACAGAGCCACTGCATTGAACAGTTCTTGAAGCTCGGTGGTAAACAAAGACCAAGGTGCTGCCTTCCTGCCCTGGGGAAGGAGCTGCCTCAGCCCACCACAGCAAGCTTCTGAGCCTCCTCCTTAAACTCCCAAGTTTGACTGGGACTGCCCTGTCTTTCCATAGTTGGAGACTATTTCCCTGGCCTATCAGCCCTCCCTGTAAAGTAATATATTTCCTATACCTGGGAGAAAACATTCAATCACTTGTTTTATCAAGGCACCATGATTTAAAAAATATTTGTCAAGCACTTGCAACACCATGATTTAAAAAATATTTGTCAAGCACTTGCGATGTGGCAGATACTCTGCTGAGCTCTGATGCAGTGGCTCTGAGAGGCTATTCCATTGTTGTTATCAAATAAAGCTTTAGATAACAAAGAAAAAAGATCGACAAAATGCGATGAAAAAACCTTGGCGAAAAAGTATGGCGGATACGCGAGGAAGGGAAGGAGAAGAGAGTTGGGGGATGGAGGGTGTAATATGAAGCCTAGTGGCCCTGGAGGGTTCGTGGTGGCTGAGTAAAGTACAAGCACATGTTGAGGTGTGAAGCTTTATCCCTCAAATTTGGTTTTGTAAGTGGATGGTGAGTAGTAAAATTTAATTAAAACCAATGACATCATAAGCCCAGTGTGCTGGGGTTGTGTTCAGGTCTGGGGAGGCAAAGGAACAGGGCCCAGAATAATGGAAGAGGCTCCTCTGAGTCAGCAACTCTTACACTGAGCCCAGAGGATGGAAGAAGTTACTGTGTGAGGTCAAAACGACACTGCATCCCACCCCTGGACATTAGCAGGCCTTTGGCTATGTAACACCTGTCTGACTAACTGACAGTCATATTCTAAAGTGCATCTAAACTGGTTTGAGGCATTTGACCCCCTCAGGTGCTGGTCAGAAAGTCTGAGGTGTTCCTGAAGATACTCAAGGGGTGGAGGCACTTGTAGCATCCCATAGCTAGCCTGTCAGGAGCTGTGCATAAACTGTACAATCTTTGCTTCACACTGCCAAGGTCAGCACCAGGACCCAGGGTGCAGAGCTGGGTGGCATGAAATGCTGATTCATTTCTCCAGGAGGGTCCAGGTACAAGGTGGTGTTTACTAATGGCAGCCAGGTGTTTGCAAGAGCCAGGCAGTGGGCCCCTGAGGGTGGAAACTGCATCAATCACCTCAGGAAAGTGAACAAGCCACACCTGGGGACTGAGAAAACCAGGTTCCAGGTACATTTCTGAAGGGCATGTCTGCACTGGTAATTGGACAGTCTGGGACTAAGAGCGCCCATGTATTCTCAATGCTTTGCCTCTTCAAGACTTCCCCAGGGCCTCCTGATGGCTTAGGGGTTAAGTATCAGCACTACCACTGAGCTAGCCTGAGTTCCATCCCTAGCCAGGGAGCTGACCCACATGGCGCAGCAGACCTCTCCTGTCTGGCCAGCTGCTCCCCTCAGCAGTGTATTTCAGTGCACCTGCCTGTTCTGTTCCCCACTTGTCTCTGGTGAATCCTTTCACCCCTGCCCCTCTGGCGACACCTCAGTTCTTCTACGCAAAAACAAAATCTTAAAAAAGAAAAAAAAAACTTTCCAAGTCTCTCATCAACTCTGAGGAGAATGTTGAGTTGAATGAGGTGTACGCACAAGTGCCTCTCATGATAGGAAGATTAACAGCTTCTGCCTTTGAGGGCTTAGGCTGCAGCCCAGGTGCTTTTGTTTTTCCCTCTGCTGCTTTTTAGTTTTATTCAGACCCTCAACAGGGGTGGACTATGTCCATCCCTGTGGAAAGCAGTCTGTTTTACTCAGTCTACTGATTATTTTTTATTTGATTTTCTTAAAATATTTGGTTACCCCCCAACAGCCTCCCCAGGGTGTAGTCCCCGTAATTCTACTACCACCATGACAGGGCAATTTTGTGGCCTTGATGAAAACAGCTGGGGGGGTGATGTAAATTTGAGCTGACCTGAAAGTCTCCCCTCTTGCAAGGTTCATAGACAGGTAAAGACGAGCCCAACACACTTTATACTCCCTTTAACATGGTTTCTGTGTCAGGGGTTTTAATCTTCAAAAGCTTTTCCTTGTCTCTTTTAACCTGAGAGTAATCACTGCAGGGTAAATTCATCTCCATTTTACCCCCAAATCAGCACGAGACATCTCTTGTTACTTCAACCTCCCTGGTTCTTGTCCACTGAATAAAAACTTTCAATTCAGTTTTATTCTTAGACTCTCCAGAGCGGAAGTAATGTGCTACATTTAGAGGCCAGTCAAAACTCATTTTTACTGAGCTCTTGGAAAGAACTTGAGTTTGTAGCTAACATTTTAGTGGGATGGTGGATATTGTACATTAAAAAAATTATTCACACCTGTTTTCTTTCCCCAAATAATCACATCATTCCTCTTTTTGACCTTTTCAAAGTTCCTGGGTTGATGGCTAGGTTTAGCTCAAGAATTCACTATCTGGACACACTTATTGTGATCTCCCTACAAGCAGACCATACGCATGAAAGCAGACCATATGCATGAAAGCAGACCATATGCATGAGTTCTTACAGCATTTCCTTACTAACACGTGTGGTGTACTTAATATAAAATTGGCCTGCAGTTTCTTTCAGTTAAATCCAGGTCCATTTATATTTCATATCCACTTATATTTGAATTTACGCTGCATAATTCTAAGTTAACTATGACTAAAGGCTTAATTTCTTTTCTTTATGAAATTCTATTTAAGATTATTTCAGACTTTACAAGATGTTGCTGAATCAATGATGATTTCCAACTTTATAAACTAGAAACAAGTGTTGCTGCATTCCCAGAATCTCAAAAAATGTTATCATCAAAAGGAAATAAATTCTAAAATTCCTATTTTGTTTTATGTCATCTCCCTATCATTTGGCTATTTTTATGCTAACTTCTCAGGCAATTAGAATACAGATAATGGAGCCCATGAAAGTTTCTAGCAATGCAGTGCAGGATTCTTAATTTTGTCATAATCCTCTGATCACTGTTCCTAGGTGCTTAAAGCAGAGAACAAATCAAAGAAAAAATAATGTCCATAATCTGTCAGTGTAAGTTGTAAGAAAATATATTTATTTTTTCCCATGACAATACTATGGTAAAATTGTTAAATACATGCATGTTTTAAAAACAGACATAGTAACATCTTTAGAGTTAACAGCCAAGCATACTAGTTTTACATTTAAGGTGTCTTAGTAATAGGTTACTTATATTCTACATTCTTGCTATAACCACATTTTCCAAAAGATTTGGAAACTAAAAGTTCTGAAATTATACCAGGATAGAAAATGTTCAAATTTTCCATTTTAACACCAACACAATTTCCCAATTTTCAAAAGACATAAAATACCTCAGTTGTCATCTCTGTGTGTGGAGTTATTTTATTCCATACAAAACTCAGAATTCTGTTAATCAGACTGAGACACAAAACCTACTGACATCTATAGTTTACTTCCTGTGTAAGTAGATTTAAATGTTTCTTTATATGATTAAGCATGATTTTAGGAACAGAATTTACAACTGATCATTCAGGTTAAAAAAATAGCCTGCAGTGGTAAACATTTCAAGAAATGAGAAAGGAAGTGTTAGATCTGTAGTTTCTCCCTATCTTTCAGCAATATTTGCACACACCTGATGAAACAAAAATTAGTAAACAACTACTAGTATTTATAAAAAATTGAAAATATTTAACATAAAACATCCCCTTTTAAAAAACACTCATTCTACAAACAACCTTATAAAGGACAAAGACTTGTATCTGTTCACAGTATGTGTATTTTGTAAACAGTAATTCATTATAACATAATTTTGAAAATAAAAAATATGGTGACTTCCTAAGAATCGTAAGGACATCTGATTTATGGCCAGCTAATGAAGGAGAAGGAGACAGAAAACATTCCGACTAGGAAAGTTGGAAATTTTCAATGATTTTACCTTGGACATACCTGTAAGGAAGTATAATCTGAAAATTAAGATGTTTCTCTTTCTCATTGAGGTTACTCTCTTTCAAACAATTATGAATTGAAAAGCATTAAAGAAAAAGCTATTCTCCTTTTTGAGAAAGTAGTAAGATAAAACAAATCCCAGGGTATCATATAATACCTACCCTTCCGCAACAATGAACTGAATAGCAGTGTATTGTTGTGTAGTATTCAACTATTCATAACATAGTCACATTTCTCCTAATCATTATGCTAGAAGCAAAAAAAAATTAAACAGCAGAGTATATTATAAATAATGGGAAAGGTATTTGAAATCAAATGGGGGAAGAATATTTGGAAAAAATTATGAAAATCATTATTGGTATTGTTTTCTGTAATCAAATGCAAAATCCTGATGCCAATGTTAAATCTAATAACTTGCCTTTTAGTGATTACTATGTTACTACCTACAAACCTCTGGATCTTTTATAATTTCAGATCTGGAATGCTTCAGAAATCGAAGGTTACCCATTTAAAATGGAATTGTCATAAGGGAAGTACATTTCAAATATAGAAGTAAGTTCAATATATTCGAGCGAGCCATTCAATTGGATGTACAGAGTATGTGGGTTTTAAGTGCACCAGAAAAAAGGTCTGTTATTAGTTTTTTGAAAAGAAATTTAAGCTCTGACTGGCTGCAAAGGTAAGCTTAGAAGATAAAAGTTCCTTATCAATTAAATATTATTTTCCCATTCACATATTTTGGTTTTTAGGGTATTTAAATTATGCTGACTAAAAAGAACTTAAGTATTACTGCTTTGCATTTGGTTAATATTAAATCAGTTACAGTTTACTTATTTAAGAGCTTCTGAACTTACTGTTTCTATGGTTCTTTAGGTAGCACTTGAACATAAACAGTGTTTCCCTCTTAAAACACTACTCTCAATTTTCATAAAAATGTCAGACAATGAGAAGTTGTCTTGCACAGATAAATTCTGTTATGACGTGGACATTTATAATCCAAAACATTAATATTCTTGACTGGGGAAAAGCAAGTGCTATTTACGGTCAGTAATGGAATCCTGATGTAATTCAATGTCATAATCACAACTTTTTGGCTATAGTTAGATCAAATCATTACACCTCCTGGAATTTTATCATATACAACGAAGTTTTACATATCAATTAATTGAATGTTATTAATCCTCTCCACTGGCAATAAAATTCACCTGTATTAAAATTAGCATGAATATGATCATGTTAAGACAAAAGCACTAATTGAAAAAGAGTACAGATTTTACTACCCTGGTGAAAAAGGTTTAACAATTATTAATTTCCCTGATAACATAATCCATGAGCAATACACTGATCAAATTCAAACCAAGTAATTTCCAGTGATAGCCTCTGGCCATGTGTAAAAGATGCATTTCCCATAAGTTTGGAAATAAATCATTTCTTCTGCAAAAAATTTCTTCTGGATATAAAAGATGGACACTTTGTTTCAGCAGGAAATATCAGTTTAAAATAAAAGCTTAAGAAATAATTTATCAAAAGAACAAGTGCTTATGTTAATCAGTCAAGCTCACACATCAATTTACTGTTTGGTTGCTAGAACACAGACTAGTTGGTACAAACATGTGCCAAACTGTGTGTCCACCAAACACAAATGAACAATGAAAACTCAAGGTTAGGGAGAAATAAGGTATCCAGTGCTGTTTTTGCACGGGTCTCCCCAGTTCCCACTCCTACTCCTGATAGTAGACTTGAGTCTCCCAGCCCAACACCTCAGACCTGCCCAAACTTCAGGACATGTCCTTGCATGCTCCGGAATGGGCCTCAGTCAATAAAAAAATCACTCGCTGGACTTCCATTATGTTCCTTGTCTTAGTAATTAACGGCCTCACAGGTTTACTCCTAAAATGCCCAATTTCACTTTCAAAATTTAAAAAATGGTATCTTATATATACTAATGACATGGTTCAAAGAGAGAGATCAGTAACAATTACTTTAGGATCAATTAAAACAAAATTTTATCAAATTATGTGCCTGAGCAGTAGAAAAATGTGACATGACATTTTCTGAATATTGGTAGGTCAGGGAATACCTTAATTTCAAAACACCATAAAAATGATTTCAAATTCCTTTTGGAAGAAAATATTTACTAATCTTCCATATACTAATCAGATTATTCAAATATAGAAAGAATTACAACGTTCTTTAAATATAGACAGTATTGAAGACAATTAAGAAATTACAGGACTAAGCTCCAACAAGAATATGAGGTGCAGGATGTTTTAAGAATTGACTTTTACCACTGTTTGAGAGCACGACAGTACTAGTGTTCCAAGAGCAATCCTTCAGATTCCTGAACCGTGAAAATAATGCTGGTCTGGAAAGTGAGGCTGTGATTTCCGCCCTTAACCTTTTTTGTGAGTGGCTGCCTCTGGCTAAGCCCCAAGAATAAAGCACCTTCACAGCCGAGCACACGCTACATGCGTCATCTGCCCAGGCCTTCAAAGCGACAGTCCCAAATCCAGGCTCTGACGGCTTCCACACCCTGATGTCACTCATACAATACACTATGTACAAGGTCTTTCTTCTAACAATAATAATCTGTGAATATTGTTCAAGATGGCCACTCACAAAGAGATTCAGGTGTTAACGACCGCTGCCATTTCTATGGGAAGCTTCACTGACAGTGGCTTCTAAATGAGTTGACTTATGAACGATGAGAAAATGTGTCCCTAAGGCAGTTTTTGTCAACCATGTAATGTAAAAATTCTAGTTTATACATTTAGAATTTTCTAACCAACGGTTGGGCTGTAGTTAAGGAGAGAGGGATTTCCCAATTATTTTCTCAGTTAGGAAAGGCTGGAGGGAACACATCTAGCCCCTTCTTCTAGTCTTTCTTTACCCCTCACCAGGGACCGGAGCTAATCCAATTGGACAGAACAAAGCTACAGACCCCTTTCACAAGCAGGTATAGGTTGCGGATAACCCACACTTCTGCCAATGTCTCCAGCGCCTCAAACAGCAGGGTATAGGCAGAGGTGGGTTTTCTTGCCCCCTTCCCTCCCCTCTCCCAGCGGTGTTGCTCCTACCTGTCCAGGTGGCACAGGGGTTGGGAGGTTAATACCTTCCGATCTGTACAGTGGACTGGCTGTCCTCAATTCAGAGACCTGTTCTGGCTGCTGACTTGAACCACGTTCTTTTAAGCATATCACATGGAGCTCATCCAGACTAGTAAAACATTACTCTGCTTCTTGTAACTCTGTTCCCATTAGATGATCTTTGTGTGTGGAAACCCAGAGGGTGGAGGAAGAAGTGAATGCATACTTCACCTTTACACACAGGAACAGCAGTCAAGTCCTGGACAGAGTGGAAGGAATCAAGACACCCTCTGTGTGGTTCACCACCAGCCAAATAGGCTGGTCACTGGAGAGGCTGGTGGGCACCAGAAAGGCACCAGAGCCAGGCAGTCCTCGATGAAGTATCCAAACAATCTTTCCTGGTTCTCTCCCATGGTCTCAGGTTAGCACTGTTTAGATCAACAAACTTTTAACTCAGCCAACACTTAATTCTATAGCGGTACCTGGAGTTTGGTAGGAAATGAGGGGTGAGTTGAGCTAAGAGGATTAAGGTAAGGTTGGCTTTGGCAGGGGAGACAGCAGTCCCTGGACTCAGTCAGGGGTGGAAGCTGAGGCAAAGAGCCCAAGAGGAGAAAGATGGCAGAACAAATTCTTTAAGGGTTGGCTCTGTTTTGATGTATTTTTCACTGCTGAAGTTCTCTATGAGATAGTGTATAGTTTTAACATACTATGTGTGCACATAATTATATTTCATTCCACGTGTCCAAAGATCATGAAGCCGAGGAATTTAGCTGAACTCTAGTTGCTAAAGTCAGGATTCATAAACAGAGTACCTAAATAGATTTTGTTCCTTGTCACCCAGTAGATTTTTCCACAACATGGTTTTTATAAAGACACATGATGAGTTAGGGAAAAAAAAAACCCTGATGCATCATGTGCAATACGTTATCTGCAAATACAGAACCTCAGATGATGAAAAACAGGCATATCTTGACTGACTCAGCTATTTCACATTCTCAAGTCATCCTGTCTTAACAACCAAAAGTCAAAATACACAAACAATCCAGGGCCAGAGAAAATATAAGATACAACATTTTGTTTTTCATTCTCCTTTTCCAAAGACCACCTTCATTCTAGGGAAAACAGGGGGGGCAGGGTGCTGAGACACGTGACCTGGCTGCTCACAGGATGACTGCTCCCACTTACACCGTGACACGGCCCACTGACCACCAGCACGTCACATAAAGTAGCCCTTGAGTAACTGTCCCTAGAGGAAGCATTGTCTTTTTAGTTTTGTACTTAAAAAATTGAGGACCAGATCAAATAATCTGAACTGATGATTGTTTAAGAGGCTGGAATCACCAAGATGCAAGATCAAGAGAAAAGCTCACTGTGGGGGTCAAAGAGCAATGATCCAGGCTTCTCGGAGAAATGGAAGCCAATCAGAACCTACTGGAACGTTAACGCCACTGAATACTGTTTAGTAGTCTCAAACAGTAAATCACTGGAATTATAGGCTTATGAGTAACACTGAAAATGCTGTGTAATTATAAAACTGACCGTGTTACCAAAAAAAAAAATACAATATTTTAAAAACTTAGAACAACACAACAGTCTTAGATATTTAAGTTTGCAATATTAAGGCAACTGATTGCAATACAGGAAGCTGGCATACAAGCTGAACAAGGTTCAGAGAATCTACCAAAGCAAGAGAAAGTGATTCTAGTGAGGGCTAGTCAGTGTCACACTCTTTTTCCAAGTTTGTACCCCTGAGACCACTATTTGGTAACCATTATACAGTAGGCACGGAAATCAGCACACTTTGCCAAACTAAACACTAAATGGCTGTCACTACATTAAACCTTATATTCATTTTTGTAAATGCTGAGGACAGAGGCGAATAATTTTGAAAGATTTAACAGCTGTGCTTGGTTTTCATCTAGAATGGAGTAAACGTCGGGCAAATAGAGGTCATCTGTTACTTGTGACATTTTCCCCTCACCTGCAAATCCACTTGCAATTCCACAGAGTACATATGGGAAAACCATTCACAACACAACAGAACACAGTTGCTGAGGGATTTGTTTTCACGTGTGGGCTAGGCCATTAGCCTAGAAATGCTTCTGGAAGATAGAGTGGTGAGGATTCTTTGGCTTGAATCACAAATCTTGGGTTTTGTGGGATGAACTTCCGAGTTACCCTACTGGGCTTTTGGACTACATGGAAAGCACAGGAATACTTAATACAACTTGCACGCGGTGACGTCCCCCTCACCAGCAATACTTCACAGACTCCTCCAGGAGACCCACGCTGACACAGCAGCACCAGCGGTGAGAGCTTATTGAGATGGCAGACTGAAGTGGCAGGGGACACTGTTAGTCATTGGGCTTGTTCTGAAAAAAGTTTGAAAAAGACCACCCTCCGCCGTTTGATTTTGGAGAGTCTTCATCTCTAGGAGGGATCAGAAATTGTCGGGAGTTAACGGAGCACGGGCTTCCAAAAGAGACGATCTCACTGTTGCTGTCTGTGGACCTGGGGGAGTCTGGCGACACCAAGTGCCAGGTGTTCACATCTGCCTGTGGCCTGTAGCCTGCAGCTCCGTCTAGGTCACCTTCTGCAGCCAGGCCTTCCACAGCAGGCGTCACTGGGAGGTGCATTTGGGGCTTATAGCCCGTCCCCCCGACAGGCTCACTTTCTTGTTCTTCCTCCGGTTTGGCCTGGGGCTGGTACATGGACTGGACATCCATGTAAATGACCTGTGACGTCCCTCCGGCTTCATCCACTCCTGGGTTTGGCATTTCTTCCTCAATGACAGGTGGACAGTAAGACACAGCCACATGGTTTTCAGGTTCTGCCTCCGAGTTATCCTCTGGACGCTCAGCGACTGGGGAGATTATTTCTGTATCTTCTATCTTAGGAACTATTGATCGGGCTTCGAGGACCTCAACGTTATTCGGGGTGCAAGGGTTCATTTCCAATGTTTTAAGAGCACTGTTTCCCTAAAAATAAATATAAGAATGGTGATGAAGGCTAGCACATTTGCTTGTAAAAACCTCTCTTTACCCCTCCATAGTGCATATTAGAGCAAAGTAATCCTTTTGTACAGATCAATGTCTTCCTTGCTATTAATACTAGTGGAAAAAGGAGCACAGTACAATATACAATGAATAACTTTAAGAATTCAGCAAATGTTAAGAGCACTGCTATTTTTTCAAGATGCTTTACTAAGAATGGCATTCACATGTTAATGACTTTTCGCAGTAGACAGAATAAAGTACAGCGAAGCCAGTACTTCACAGATATAGGTAAGAAAATAAAGGATTACCTCACAGACACTCTTTTGAAACTGTAATGCTTTACAGTTTTCTGGATTTGGAATATCAGGGTAGAAGGTTTCCTTAATCCTTTAAATAAAGAATGATCAAATAAGTTTAATAACATAAGATTACCAGTAAGATAAATTCATAAATCATCAGGCTTATTCTGACATTTTGTAAGATTAACAAACATCAGAAATAAAAAATGGAAGACTAATTTCAGTATGTTCATTCTTGAGAGCTTTCTGAAGAATGCACACAGAAGCGCCTGTATGAAAACTGTAAGTAACACACCTAGTTCTAGAACAACAATATCTTATAAAAATAGAAAGTGAAGCATTAAGATGGTGGTTGTGCTATCAAGTCAAAAGTCAAATACAAGTATTACTCAGCTAACCCAACATACATATTGCAAACAGGATTAAGTGTGACCCATTTGCTTAGGAAACATGTTTGTATTGGGCAGCTTTCCACTATCCACCCCAGACTCTAGACTCTCAGAAAAAGGCAGGCTATTAATCTTGAGCAAAAAAAAAGTGCAGACAAACACAAGAGGTCCTCTCATATTTACAGGTATTAAAAAAGAATTTTATTGTTTGAAACTTCTGAAGGAAAAATAATGCTGTTACTGCCTGGAACACAAATATCTCATTACTTGGTCTTAGTTTTTGGTAGTGAAGTAATTTTTAAAATGAGATTTTTGGTAATGAGAATATGGCTACGAAAATGGGCTATTCTGCAGTCCTAAGCTACTATGTATGGCTTACATGGCAGGATCGCTAGAATACATTCTCTTTTTTAATATAAGTGATGACATTTTTTTAAGACTAGGGAGGGCCATCTATGTCTGAAGACATTTGCGTCAGTGCATGACAGCTGCTGTGCAGCTGACTCAACGGCTCAGCCCCGTTCACCTCACTCACCTCACCTGTCACCTCACCTCACCTTATCCCTCACATTCCCTCTCCTCACCTTCCGTCCTTACTATCTTGTCTCACCCCAACAAGTGGATCTTACTTTCTCTAGAAGATCAAACTCTCTCCAATTTCTGGGCCTGTGCAGATGTTATTCTTTTGGGCTGGAAAATTCTTTCCCTTTGCCCTTATTCTTCGGGACGCTGCTAGGAAGTCTCAGCTGACTACCTCAGTGATATGTTTCCCTGCTACTTCCTTCATGGTACCCAGTGCCCTTCCTTGTACCCTCTTTACACTCTGCAAAAGTGTATTTATTGGATGATTATGTATGTATTGGTCAACAATGGGCTCAGTGTGCAGCATGCCCACAATCCTGTAAGTCTGTCAGGACAAGGCTTATTTGTTCACTATGTTCCCTTTACATAGATCATTTATATTTGTTGAATACCTGAGTAAGTGACCAGATTTTTGTAAGGTTACTAGGAACATGAAGCTTTTAATCATTAACATTTAACGTTGCATATAGCTATCACTTTAAATTATTAGCCAATACAACAGAGGAAAATTACATTTTTACTCTACTAATTTGAAAACTTTAATATACCACGTTCTTGTTTGGTATAAAATCCAATATTAATTTGAACTAAAAACAATCATTTTTACTAGTTTCAACCAAAAATGATACCATTATTTCATAACACGCACACTTAATAGTCATGCCTTTACGAACAAAGCAGCAAGAGCAAATGCAGGTACCATTACCATTCTCGCTTCCGATAGCAAAGGACACTGGTCACCACTCCAACAAGGACAGCCACAGCCACGGGAATGAGAATGGCGATGATTAGTCCCACAGCTGAAAAAAGTTGTGCATATACTAAAATCATCATTTTTAGTGCAAGGCTTGGAATTAGATTATATGAGAAGATTTTTAAGTTGGTGGATTATTTGAAGAGAAATTAATCTAACTGTTCCAGGGACACTAAAAAATATTTAAATAGACCTTTGAAAGTCTTGCAAAAATTTTGATCCTAATACATCAGTTCCTTAGAACCAGCTTCTCTACCTTGGTGCTATTAAGATGTAAGATCAGTTATGTCTTTACTGTGCTGGGGACAGAGGTCAGCGTATCCCTTAGCCTCCAAGCACGATCTAGTTATGATAACCAGAAATTTCACCAACGTTGCCAATGGCCCTGTGGGGTCAAAAGTGCCCATGAGGGGCACAGTCTCGTGACTGTGAGAAGACTGTGGGTGCTCTCAACACGCTGTGGCAGAGTGCGAGCCGGGGTCAACTTAAAGCCAAGTTCTTCAATCCTCCCAATTCTCTGTTTTCTATCTCAACATACTAAGTAATACACTCCACAGATTCCTTAGGATATTTCTCTCACTGTTTCCTGAACATGCAGAAAATCATAGAGTAGTTAGGACAAAAAAATTTACAGGTTGATCATTATAGAACCTAAATATGAATTAACTCCAGACGTTCACTGAATTCTTAAGTATCCAATTAGGAAATGATTTCCAATAACTGACAAGGATTAATATGAAGCTATTTCATGGCCTCTGAACACTGTTTCCTGCCTATGATAAAAATGAAACTTTAGAAAATGGGGGCTGCTACATAACCCAACCTGCCGAAAGTGCTATGATTTAACTACTGCTCTATGCAGTATCCCACTTACAGTTTTCCTTCGTCACCACAAACATGCTCTTCTCCGGGCCCATCCCACCATCCGTGTAGGCACGCAAGACCAGGTGATAACTTGTTTTCCCTTGCAGATCAGCAATTCTCAGTGTCTTCTGGGACACATCAGTAATGTTCTTAACCTTTATGTCAGAGCGACCTGTTTTTAAAGTAAAGAATATGATTACTGATCCTGGCACCATTTTTATCACATGGCTGTGCACACTTGTCATGCCCCATCTGGGAGTGGCCAGAGCCACAGGAAAGTCCCACCTGGGTCAGTTCCTCCAGCCCCTCTGTGACACGGCTATATCACAGCTTAACTCAAAGGGCTACGGGAAGCTGAACAGACATTCTCTAGAATAATGTCTACACAGCAAGAGGTCATCCACAAAGGTCACTTTTATGTTACTTTAAAGTACACACAAAATCCCACCATAATTATTATGACATGAAAAGGAAGATCTTTTCTTTGTCTTTTGTTTTTAAGTAGCCTCCCTCAGGCGCAACCATGCCTCAGATAGCACCAATCAGGATGCTGCTGGCCTTGAGGGCTTATAATCAAAGGCTTCAGAAAGAAATGACGCAGGTGATTCCTGACAGACTGTTCATATCATTTATCACACATTGATGCCTTTGACTGTACTTATTCATAAAATGACTGCTGCAATGTCATGCCTCTGTTTTTTCAATCTGGAAACCAGTACTAAGCTACTTAGTGGTGCTTTCCTTTTCTGTCTTCTCTTTTGGGAGTTAAGGAGGAATTTCACGGCTCTAGAAATCCGCTTACCTGATTCCAAACCCCTCATCTTAGATGTGTCTCTTTCTCCTTTTTCAAAGTAAAATAAATATCCTCTTAAAAAGCCTCTAAGTTCTTCCACAGGAATATCTTCCCATTTTACTAGTATGGAATCTGCAGATGTATCCTCAACAGTGAAATTTGGTGCAACAATCGGAGCTAGAAGAGGAAAACAGTCAATGCTGAGGGACAGCTTCCTGCAGACTGAGCCACTGGTGCTTGATGAGATTTCCAGCCCCAAAGGTAGCTCAACTTGGGAGCAAAATTCTTTTCAATTTTATCACAAACTCTGAGAGATTGTGATCACAAATATGTTTGTGAAGCTTATATGCTAGTAACCAGAGACACAAAGACACACCTCTCAACTTCCAAACATAATACATATCTGAGGAGTAACTAACGCAAAATCTTAAGTGGCTACTGAGATAGACTTCGCTGCTATGTCCCACTCGCTCACAAGTCTGGATATCTTTAAAAATTCATAAAGAAACAAGTTAAGTACTGCTGATACCCAAGTGACAGGCTAAACTTTCTTAAGAAAGTCATGAAATATAAACCGTAAACAAATGGAGTAAGAATAAGTAATCAGGGCCTCCCTGGTGGTGCAAGGGGTTCACCCACTGCCCCCCTCAGCAGTGTATTTCAGTCCCTCTGCCTGTTCTGTTCCCCACCTCTGTCTCTGGTGAATCCTCTCACCCCCACCCCCACCTCTGATCTACATCCTAGCTCTTGTATGCTACCAATAAATAAATCTCAAAAAAAGAGTAAGTAATTAAAGAAGTAATTTTATATTTATCATATAGATTATTCTCGGACCTTTCCTTGAACAAAACACCTACATTCAATTTATTTCAGAACTGGATCTTGAAAATGTTTTCAACTTTAACTTCTACCTTGAATGCTTAAGAAAACTTAAAACCCATTTAACTTACCCAATTCTTTTACATAGCCAATGATGGAGCGTAGTAGTTGATAACCTTGGTTTCTGCATCCATACAGAAAAAAATTGTATCTCACTCCTGCTCGAAACTGATCTATAGGATGAACACAGTAAGTAAACTCTTGTAAGTAAATGTTGCTATGAATAATTATTTTAGAAATACAAATTGATAACTTATTCTGAAATTTCCAAAGCTAATTTAAGCAAAATTTCTTTGGGGCCCTCCCTGGTGGCGCAGTGGGTTAAAGCACAGCACTAAGAAGCTAAAGCCACTTCAGTATGAGTTCAATCCCCACCCCTGAGGTGACCCACATGGCACAGCAGACCTCTTCTGACCCGCCCACTGCTCCCCTCAGCAGTGTACTTCATCAGTCAGCCTGTCCTGCTCCCCAACTCTGTCTCTGATGAATCCTCTCACTGCCCCTGTACCTCTGGCCTGGACCCCAGTTCTGTATACATAAGTAAACAAGTCTTTAAAGAAATTTCTTTGTATGAAAATTACACAAATATTTTCAAAATGAGACTAAAAACTGGACAATCAGATTTGCTTCCATTGCCATGGAATGCTTGATGTGACAGGTTAGCTATCAAGGCGTTTGTTTTCTTCCTTAAAATCAAGCCAGGAAGGATTCTTCCAGATTTGATCTAGGCTCAGTTTACTAACTCATCCAGGGCCACATCATGCCTCTGCAAACCTCTTCCTTAGTAATCTCTGGATTAGACAAAACCCACTGCTTGCTCCAAGATGTAGACACTAAAAGTTCCATTCTCCTGGGACATCTCCATGTTAACAGAGAGAGCCTCAATCTGCTCCTCTTTATAGCACACTGGTAGGTGGGGTGGCCAGGGGCAGCTTGCCTGACCACTATAATGTGAAGGAGACCAGGAAATAATGGGAGCCCACAGATGGTCATCTAAAGAACAGAATGGGCCGAACCCTTCTTTTAAACAGTGCAAAAAGCGAACAAGCAGAACTTGCATCCTGGGAGAGAGGTCATCACAGTGGCCCGTTCTCCTGAATTTCACTAACATGTCAGTGAGACCAGAAGGGGCTGATGTCAAGAAGCCCCAACTACCAAGCACTGCAAGTTCCGGAGTTCCCATGCGTGGAGACATGACCCTTGATCATCGGCTGCTCAGAGAGCCAGGACCGTGGAAGGCAGGCTCTGATTTTCCAGAACAAGGGAGGCTTAGGCTGCTGGTTACTGAGTCCCCATCACGGGGTCTGCTCCTGGCTCACTAGCCGTCAGGCAGACGCGGACTCGCCCCCACTACATGGTCGATGCCACTCTGACGCCCCCTTGCCTCACATCTGGGGTGGTGCTAAAAGGGTGCATGTCCTGCACAAGGGGTCTCTCCCTAGACCCCAGGCAAACAAAGGCAACAGGACGCTGAGTGAACGCCACTGCTCAGAAGTCAGCAGTGTATTCTTCCCTCCCGGCCATCATACAGTGCTAAATCTTCCACATAGTTTTAAAGTACATACTACATTTTACAGATGTACATCATTTATTCATTATCTTATTTGTTATTTGGGTTATTTTCAGTTTCTATGGTTACACATTTTGCTGTGGTGAGACATGCTTAGATGTAAATCTGTGTTGTTCTCTGACTATTAAAATGAATTCCTAGACAATTATCACATCAAAGGAGATGCCAATATCCATACCTAGACCCCATGATCACCTTCCAAAGACATGAAACCAATCCGCACCTGCCCCGCAGGTAAGGGGAACATCACTTAGCTGCCCCTGGCTGCACCAAGTGCTGCTCTTTTTAAAAAATACGTATTTTTCAGAACTTTGAATGACAGATATTGGTTTATCTTACCAGACTCTATTACAGTTTCACTGCTGTTGGAGGGGACTTTTTTCCAATCCATGAGGCAGGGCTCTGACCGAGATGAGTTACACCACTTAATGACATAGTCGCACGTCATGTTGGGATCGTAATTCCAAGTGAGGAGAATCCCATTTCCCATCCCCACGGCTTGTTCTATTTTGAGATCATCTTCAACAAGAGAGGAAGGCATTTTACTGGTGATAAAAACAACCCTAGAAGGTAAATCTCAGGCAAATGAGCCAACAGTTATGAAAATTAGTTCACTGCACAGAAGTGGTAAAAGTGCTCAAACTAGCTCAAACATAAGCATTATTACAAGTGCTGTTCTGTTATTTTTGTTCTAAAAATACGTGTTGATATGCAGCTGAACAAAGTGACAAAGCAGCCCCAGGGACCGGGCAGCAGGTCAGCAGGCCTGAGGCTGGAGGCTCAAGGTCAGGGAGGGCGGGTGTGGGAGGAGGGGGGAGCAGGATACTGGGGTACACTTGGCAGGGATGGCACATAGGACCCCGCGGAGGGTGCGAGTACAGTTGTTACACCAGGAAATACTTACGGAACAATGATCTGCTCTGGAACTTCAACCTGAAAGCTAAACCCCTGTCTGGGCTGTAAATTACTATCTCCTCAGAAAAAACATGGCATAGGCAAGAATACAGATCTTCAATTAAAAGAAAACAGAGCTGGGCCTCTCTGGTGGTGCAGTGGGTTAAAGCACAGCACTGAGAAGCTAAAGCCACTTCAGCATGAGTTCAATCCCTGCCTGGGAGGTGACCACATGGCGCGGCAGACCTCTCCTGACCCGCCCACTGCTCCCCTCAGCAGTGTACTTCCTTGATCTGCCTGTTCTGCTCCCCGCTCTGTCTCTGGGTGAAGCCTCTCAACGCCCTTGCATCTCTAGCCTGTACCCCAGTTCTGTATGCATAAATAAACAAATTTTTAAAAATAAATAAATAAAACAGAGCTATCGCCTGTGGTGTGAGAGCAATAAAACACACTGAGCACGTGCAGGATTCACACGCCCTTCCCTCTCCCTTGTTCTCTCTGCGCCCCCCACCACTGCCCAGGGCCTCTCCTCCCAGAGGTGCATCCCGGGCATTGGTCGATCCTGGTCTCTGAGGTATGGGTGCTCCCTCTTCCTTCCCCCTTAATTCTTTTGTGCTAACAGAAGCAGCAAGATCCCCTCAAGTAAGAGACAACCTCAAGCAGGAGTTGGAAAGTTTCACTTACAGGGCCCTGACTAGTGCCACTTTCTTTCTTCTAGGCGTGGGTGGTCATAGAAATGTGCCTGATACTGGTGGCAGGACAGAGGGGGAGGGTGGGCGTGGGGGGTCAGGGGATGACCCTGAGGGAAGTTAACCCGAAGAGGCACAAGTGGCCATTTAAAACTCATGGCTTTCAGAGCTGTCCTGAAGGCAGCTCACAGCCTTGCTGACAGCATCGACCTGGGGCCTTGGAGAGGCCAGGAGAACAGTGTTTGAGCAAGTGATCCCACTAGTCCTTCCTCAGGGCAACTCCCCATAAGTCTCTGACACTGTAGTGAAAGTAACTGGACACAGGAATGATTGGATCGTCAGTGCAGGTGCTTTGTGCCATATGACTGACCTGCCTCCCGTGAGCCTTTGCCTTGAGTCTGTCTGTTCCTGCTCAGGTGTTAAGAGCAGTGAGGGGATGAGAAGCAAGCTGGCCTACACCTCTAAACTGCATCACCCTGGCCTCACCCTCTGAACTCACCATTGGGAATCTCCATACTGGCTATTTTAGAAGGTGGGGAAGAGCCGGCTGAGTTCTTTGCCACCACACTGATGATGTAGTCGTTCTTATCCAGTTGTATTTCTGCCCTGTGCTGAGGGTCTGGGATCTCAGAGAGGGACTGTGTTTCCTCATGTGATGAGCAAGACACATTATAGGAAAGTATTTTTCCATTAGCTTCATTAATGGGCAAAGGCTAGGAAAAGCAGAAAAACGAGTTGTGTTATAAAGTGATGGTGGCAAGACAAGACCATGCATCCTCATCTGGACACCACGCTACCAAGGTAAGGTCAGAGGAGATGAACCTGCTTGAGCACAAAACACAGAGGGGACTCCCAAGACTGGGATAAATCAGGAACATGATATAGAAGAAAAACCACCCTGCTGTAAGCAATGTGTGTACACGGAAATGTGGATATTAAATACGAAACGACACTTATCGTCACGTTTTTTCAGAAGCATCTCCCACCGAATGAGCCCACGTCTTCAGCCCCCTCCCCACTGGGGCTCCGGAGTCTGACAGCAAAGCACCACCTCCCGGCACACTTGTAGGACACCCTGGGGCACAGCAGGTCCAAACAACTTAGTTTTGCTCCTCCAAATACTACGAGCAGCAGCACTGCCCAGCGAGTCCCTGGCGTCAGAAGCTGAGTCACTTCAGTGTTGTTAACCCTTGGTTAGATGTTCCTCTCATGTGAATAATACACTGAAGTGGTCTGTACCAAGTGCAGTCGCCACTACACTTCGGGGCGCCTGACAGACAACTGAGGGCAATCGGCGTCTTCAGTCTGAGACAAGGGGAGGCGGCGGGCACAGGGGCCACGCGGACCAGGGCACTGCTCAGGCCCAGCCTGCTCAGCTCCACGGGCCGCGATGTGGTTTTGTAAAAATAAAATCACATCTGGCCCTCCCTGGTGGCAAAGCTAAAGCTACTTCTGCAGGAGTTCGATCCCCGCCTGCCCCGGAGGTGACCACATGGCGTGGCAGACCTCTCCTGACCCGCCCGCTGCTCCCCTCAGCAGTGTACTTCATCGATCT